CCCCCCGGTTTTAAACAGATTTTAATTAGGATTTACCTCGTCAATGCTCAACGTTAGCTTGGCTGGACCCTCCATGCGGGGCACCGTCATCTCCCGCGAGAGTTTGACCAGGGGGCGTTTTCTCCCCTCCCTTCGAGGCTAGAAGCTCAATAGAACGATCTCCAGAGTAAAAAAAACAAGATATTCTGTACAATCACAGGCTAAAAGGGTAGACGAATGGAATAAATGGCGCAGAGGCGGCGCTGTATGCAATGCAGACAGACCAGACAGATCTTGCTCGTGACGCTAAAATCGCTCGCTCGCTACAGTACCTTACCCTTATCCTTATCCACTGAGGGTCCCCTCACGTCCCCAATGTTATCAATTAAAAACAAGGCAGGTACTCTGTAGGAATTTTGGGATTATCGTCGCAAGTACCCAGCCTAAGAAATCAGGGGTAAATTGACAACAGTGCTTATTAGCGCGGCCTTGTTTAGCGATCAAATTATCGCGAGGCCTCCTTTTAAATTATGTGACCCCCCTTTCTCAATTCACATTCTTGATTCCATCTCTTTTTCTTACACAAAACTCACTCTTCACCCTCAATGAGTCCCTCTCTCGCTACAGAGACCACCAGATACAATGACTGCTCACCGTCAAGTGCGAGCGAAGATGAAGATGACGCGCCTGACCCGCTGAATCACCATGGCATCGATTTCAGTATACGAGGTGCGCGCATAGCCCCCTTTTTTTAAACGAGATGAACGGGACAAACTGATTGTGAGAAGACACCATGAAACGAGCGCTTCGTGCATCATCGCGTTTAGGAGATGGCGTTCGGTATCAACAGCTTGGAATTTCGAATTCAAATGATTTGGAGACGCAGTCACCGCCTCTTGACCGTACGCAATTCGACTTTAGCAGCCACCATGAGGGAGTCTCGTTTTTCGGTCAGATTCGATCAACGGTTGTTGCATCGAGATTGAATTGGTTGCTGGTTTTTGTACCGATTGGATTGGCGGCACATTCATTTCAGATTAATCCTCTGGCGATTTTCATGACGAATGCGATTGCTATCGTGCCGCTTTCTGTTATGCTGACGGAGGCGACGGAGCGTATTGCTGCTGATGCGGGAGACACGATCGGTGCGCTGTTGAACATTACGCTTGGAAACCTTGTTGAGTTGATTATCTTGTGAGTTTTGCTGTGAGATTTTGAGAGATTTTGCTAATTTGATGCAGGGTGTGAGTTGAGATGAGATTGGGTTTTGGTGAGGCTGAGAACTGACTTTGATAGCGTTGCACTGGTGAATAACCATATTCGCATCGTTCAAGCATCGATTTTAGGTAGTGTTCTCGTGAACCTTCTTCTCATCTTAGGCTCTGCGCTTTTTGCAAGCAGCATGTCCAATATCGACCCTCACAGCAGCATGGAAGAGTCAGAGCTCCTGGCCGCTCTCCTCTTCGTCTCAGTATTTGTCATTCTCATTCCCGTAAGTTCACCCATCCCCTCACTAATACAAACTACTGACCTAAACAGACGGCATTTGACTATACCTTCCAGATGAAAGGAAAGAAGAGCGAAGCCGCATTGAGCATGAGCCGCGCTTCATCGCTAGTAGTCCTCGTCATCTATATCGTGTATTTCGCGTATGAGATGAGACCCAAGCATGTCGAAGCACCAGCAATTCCATTACAACCACTACACACAGAGCATCATCAACACCGACGAAATCAGGGATCGACGTCTCACAGTGCAAGACTTATTCGATTTGCAGACCAGGAAGTTCCGACGCGTGCGAGGAGCACGACGCTTGATACGATGAGCGTTGCGGAAGCTGAGGAGGAGCGGGGGAAGAGAGAGACGACTCGTGCTAATTTGTCGCATCGGTCGAGAGGGAACTCACGATCTCATTCGCGTTCTGGCTCGAGGACTGAGTTTCATGGTTCGGAGATGCGGGACCTTTCGGTTGGGAGTGCTCAATCGAGAACGACTATTATGGAACGACCGGACGTACCGGGTCATCCGTCGCATCCTTCCAGTACTAGCGGCACTGTCGCTGCTGTTACGGTTCTGTTTGTTTCATCGGCTCTCATGTCGATGAATGCTGAGTTTCTCGTCAAGACGATTGACGATGTTACTCACGAAGGTGGTCTATCGGAAGCTTTGATCGGGTTGATCATTCTTCCAGTAGTCGGCAATATTGCCGAATATGTGACCGTTGTCACAGTCGCCATGAGAAACAAGCTCGAGCTTGCTATTTCTGTTGCTGTCGGATCAGCAATTCAGATCGCACTTTGTGTAGCACCGTTGACGGTCCTAATAGCCTGGATGCTTGGTCGGGATCTTGAGATGGCGTTCAACGTCTTCGAAACCACGACACTGGTTGGATCGGGTCTATTGATCAACCTACTGATTCTCAGTCGTGCGGGCACTGCCATCAGAGCTATAGGCCTGAAAGGCGCTCTGATGTTTGCCTGCTATGTCATCATTGCGTAAGTTGCTTTTGACCTCTGGGAGAAGATATTTGCTAACAGGTTGCAGTCTTGGTGCATACTATGAGCCGCATGGCAAGACAAAATGAAGCAGATGGGGAGAAAGGAAATTGTCATAATGATAATATCAAGACTTAGATTCATAAAGCATATAATTTCACCTCAATTTTCTCATGTTGATACTCAACCAATTTCATGTTTAGGAAAACGATCATACTCCATGCCCTTACTATAATCCATCCACACTTCTAGGTCGCATTGTAGATGTTGCAACCGAACCTCACTTCTTCCCTCGGCGAGTCCACTTAATAGACTTCCACCAATTCGAAGCAGGCCTTTCTCTCTTCAGAACCTCCTTTATCAAGTTGGCATCCTCACCAACAGCCAGCCAACGTCCTCCCTTATCGAGTCTCATTGGCAAATCTATCTGAGCTTGATGATAAGCATCCCTGGAATATTTGACCCTACAATCCTTGTACGCGTGAACTGAGGTAAGAGCCTTGTCGTCCTTGAGGATCTTTGCATTAACGCGCAGGGATGGATCTTTTCTAGAGGTATGCGGTCGGCCGCTGGGAAGGAGGCTTGGTGATGTTGTCTAATGTATCGTTTCGTACTTACGGAATAAACACAGTATTGGCATCCTTCTTCAGCTTTGTATTCATATTGACTGCGTGACGTATTTGGAGTGCGTAATGATTTATAGGACTGCAGCCCTTGAAAACGAAAATGAGAGGATAACCCAAAAGATTTTTCAAGGGACGTTGAATCATGCTGAGGGTAAGAGACGGTTAGACGGTCGCCCTGACGTTTGGGATCATGTCCTTGTATAGTTTGGGTTCTACTACAATAGACACCATTCTCTCATGTTGTTCTCTGACTGACCAGTAAGGCGCGAGGAGGGGAGAACAAAGGAACGAAACCAACAATATAAGAATTAATCTTATGACTAGGCAGAGATGCAAACACCATGCATATGTACCCCAGGTGAGAAAACGATGGACAGAGGAAGTTGTTGCATTTTAATCGTATTTAGGCAGACTTTTTGGCTACTAGATCACCAGCATTGGCGTAGCTATTACAAACGACTTGTTATCTACATAGAATTCTATTCAAGAATAAAGGTATAATGGCCTCTTCTACCTACGCAGTCTTGGCAGTGACTTATGGAGGCGTCAAACAACAATCAACAATCAATTTGGCTGTGAACAAACCCGCCCCACTTTTGCTTATCGACGCCACTTTCGTTCAATCCCGCTCTCTCGTCATCATCAGAGACAGTGCATCAAAGATATTGACGCATGATATGGCGCTTCCTAAGGACAATACCAAGCTTTGTTCAACTTCGCACCCCAATCAACGAGCCACGAGGTAACGATCAGGTCCAGGCCCTTCATGGCGTTATACCACCAACCTTGGCCGCCGTGCGCCATACCTGCAGCAGGGCTTGATCCTACATGTCCTATCGAAGAAGAAAGGACCCCAAACTACAGTCCGGACAGATTTTATCCTATTAGGTTGGGGCAACTGCTGAATGGTAGGTATCAGGTGGCGACCAAGCTGGGATATGGGGCTAATTCGACCGTTTGGCTTGCTCGAGATCTGAACAGGTAGGCTTTTCATTCAAAGCTCATAGGATCTGAGATATAAGACATGAACTGACTCTGCTAGATGGAAGTGGTCTTCAGAGATGTACGTTGCTATCAAAGTCAAGGCAACCAAGAGCTCAAAGAGACGAGCCTCTGCCGAAAATGAGATAGAGATCCTCCAGCATCTCAACCGAACAAATTCTAAGCACCATGGATGGCACTTCGTTCAAAAACTTACTGACACTTTCAACCTCGAAAGTCCATATGGCAGTCACCCTTGCCTCGTGTTGGAGCCTTTGCGTGAGCCGCTTTGGCTATACTGCTCCCGATACATCGGAGGTGTCATCCCTCCAGACATCTTGAAGATTCTGCTTCAGATGATACTTCTGGCGCTTGACTATCTGCATACAGAGTGTCATGTCATTCACGCTGGTAAGTGAATTAATAGTGAGCCAGGTCTACGATGCTCATAAGACTTACTGCAGATCTCAAACCCGACAACATCATGATAAGAATTGAAGATCCCAAGATTTTTGAAAAGGACGCCATCGAAGAGTACAACAATCCCTTGCCCGAGAAGCAACTAGACGATCGGACCATTTATTTGTCTCGAAACAACTACGGACCGCTTACTCGATCAACGGGTATCATACAGCTCGTTGACTTTGATCTTTCAGTTTGTTCAACACCAGGGAAGTTGCACTATGGTGCGATTCAAGGAGAGAAATACCGAGCGCCAGAAGTCATCCTCAACTCTGGGTACAGCTACTCTGCAGATATCTGGAGCCTTGGGGTAATGGTAAAGATCTCCCTCCCGTGTCACGCGGGACAAACAGTGATTGACAATGCGCTTGATAGCTTTGGGACTTGCTTGAAAAGAAAAGCCACTTTAGCCCTGTGACTCTAGGGGACGGGATGGGATACGATGACTTGACCCATTTGGCGCAGATCACCGCCCTGCTTGGTCATGCCCCTCAAGATCTTTTGAAAAAAGGGAGAAGATCAGCCTTATTTTATCAGGAGCACGGTATGTACTTGTACCGGATGTCTTGCCAGGGCAATGCCTACTGACGCATGACCAGGAGAGCTGAAAGACCCGAGCCTTATACCCAGTAATTTCAACCTTGAGAGCACGTTCACATGCATGGCTGTTGAGGAAAGACAACGATTCGTCCACTTTGTCAAGAGAATGATGACCTGGCGCCCCGAGGATCGAAGTACAGCCAAAGAGCTCTTGGACGACCCATGGCTCTACAAAGACTTTCCTCAAGATTGGAAAACACAGTCAAAGCAATAAAATCACAGAGACTCAATCTGTACATCATTCCGTTCGCTTATCATTTGAAGAGTCTCTACCGCTAACATATAGCTGCCCTCTGTCCTTTATGTACTTTGCTCTCATCATCCTCATACCGCCTCCTACTCGACGGCACAACGGCGGATGGATGCACTCCCCCCATAGAAGCTGGTATTCCCATATATGCTGGGATATCCTCGCTCAGCTCAGGAAAGTGCTGGAAAAAGTCGGTCGACATGGTCCAGGCGTTGATGTCGCGGATGCGCTGCTCGAAAAGTGGCGATATGTGGTATTTGCCCGTGTGCGCGTTGTGGTAAAATGTGTCCTGGAAGGTGTCCGTCCAGAGGATTTTTAGGTTGGATTGGAGAAGCTCCCAGAAGGAGTTGTTGCAGTATTGGTGTTGGGAGAAAATGAGGCGCTCGCGGAGACCGGGCCTACGGGTGGGGTTAGTTTTTGTGGTGGTGAATTGAATCGAATTGAATTGAATCGAGTTGAGTTGCACTTACCAGACGAAAAAGTCAATGCCGTATGAATGTGGTAGCACTTGCGATGGCCTGTGAATGTGTTAGTTTTGGCGCATTCGCGTGGAGAATTAATTAATTGGCTTGTCGCACCTGTTCCAGTACCATCGCGGTAAAGTAGCGCGTCTCTCCATTGTCGGATCGCCGTGATACGTGATCAAGAGATGACATATCCTCATCGCAGCCAAACGCTCTGTATCCGCACAATTCGTAAAACAGAGCTCATCCGCCCTGCGCAGCTTGCGCCACGTCGGCGTCATCTTGCCCGCGCGCTCGATGCTATCCCAGCCCTCAATCAGTGCGCGCACGGGTATATCCTCCGCGTTGTACTCCTCGATCGCGAGCTCCTCAGCGGACAGCTTTGTGGGCTTGACGAGGACTTCGTTTATGGCGCGCCAGATGTTGGGCTTGACGTCGTGGTAGGCCGAGGCGCAGCTCGTCGGGCTGGAGCAGTGGCAGAGCACGGGGGCCTTGGGGATGATGACGTCGTCCTCTTCGGGTGTTGGGGGGAGGTTTGGGAGGAGAGGCTGGATGGGGATGAAGCCGTTGCCGGCGGGAGGGAGGATCGAGTTGTCGAAGGCCATCGAGGTAGGGTAGTGCTCTGTCGACACGGCGTAGTTCCAGCCGTCGTAGGAGAAGGGGTCGTGCGGGGGAGGATGGCCGTGGTTGTGGTTGTGGTTGATGGGGAGTTCTAGTATTGTAGAGTTGCTTGTTTCTGAGGCTGCCCTTTGGGTCATGATTGGGACTATTCGCTCGTTTGATGCTGACTGTGATTGTCCAGCATAAGCCGGCGACTCGGATTTTGTCTCTGATCGTGGCTCGCTCGTGCTGGTGGCGCTGTTGGTATCGCCAATGTGCCGGCGGATCGTGGAGCCTAAAGAATCGAGCACCTGTAATAAATTGTCCCTCTCCTTGGTGACCTTGCCTAATTGGTCCATCAAGGTAGCTATTTGCGCGTTAGAGTCGTCCTGTCGAAGATTGTCGACCATGCTCTCTAATTGAGCGATGCGGCTCTTTGTTCGCTCGCGCGCCAGGCGTTGGGCCTTGCGATCGAGCTCCCGTTTCTTGAGCCGACGGGCTTCGGCAGTCGAGGTTTGGGTTTCATTATACATGGTGATGATCGCCTTCAGGGATGGGGGCAGAAACAAGAGGATGGGAAAAAAGATGCGACCGGACCAACAGACAGACTTATATCCGTTGAGAGGGGAAGCTAGTCTGCCGTTTAATGTACATCCCAGAGTACCTAGGGAGGATGAGATGGATGGAGAGAGAGGGGTTCGTGGAAGTGAATCTGGGGAAGCGGATCACGGGCTTTTGATCGATTCACACTACCTAACCCTCCAAGTCATGTAGTTTAGGTACCGATGAACGGTCGATATGGTATTGGTATGGTAGGGCACCTTACCCAGCAGCCAGGGCAGACCAGACCAGGGCAGGGCAGGCCATTCTGTTTGGGCTGTGCCTCAAGGGCTTTAACTCGATGCTCATGCCAGGGAAAACAAGCTTCAGCGCTAGAGTGCCACAATGGAGCTGAAAGGGATAACACCGAGATTTGGTAGGTGATGTAATCAGCAATAAGCAGACGCTAAACCCTCAACGGCTAATTCCGATTTGCTCGGCACTGGGATTAGGGTGCTCATTCGTGGCGTTGTCCGTTCAGCTCTAGTCTGCGGCCACATGTCTTTGGCTGTCTCTTGGAGTTTCCGGTTCTCAGGCAGTTCCTAAGGGCCAAGCCAAGGGCCCGCAGGATCTCCACGGGGCGCAACGTTTCGCTTCGAGACTGACTCGCAAACCAGTCCCGATTCACGTCTCAAAGTAACCTCACCTCACCCTGCGACGCGGCTCTGGGCAATCAAGATAAGCAAGATCCTAGCTGTCTGTACCTCGACACGCTTGGATCTTGGATAACTAGAGGTGTCAGTCATGCATGCGAGATTAGCGATTCAGGTTCTTGGTTGCTGGACACTACAAGATCATGACGGTTATCGATCCTATTGACTGATTCACGGCAGGGATCTCAGCTTTGCAGGAGTCTAGAGCCAAGTATAATTCCCTTCCGTATTGGGACGATCAATGACGATTGACGTTAGATCAAGGAATGGGATGAGATGGGATGTCACAAGGCGTGGCGTGGAATGTCAGTTTGGCGTTTATTGCGCGTTCCCTTCACTACCAGACAGCCTGAAAGTCCCCCAATCCGCCCACTAAGCGAGGTGCTTGATCGCTGATGAATGGAATTCTATCCAAGTCGCAATGGTATTGTGCCGAGGTCATTCAATCGTCAGGCAAGCGTCAAACGGAATTGTCTCACTCATCACAAACAATGTCTCGCAAATTAATTTAATTGATAGTAAATTGATGGCTGAACCATACCTTAAGACTACCCCAAATACCTGGTCCTTCTGCCACTGTAGGTGAGCCGACCCCCAAAACCACCAAAGCAAGCCACTTACAGAACGCGCGTTTACGCCCCCAACAGCCCTAAGATCGTTCCCTTACACGAACTAGCGCGTCGATGCCATGGACGGTCTAGGCCCTTAGAGTCGGAGCAAGAGCCGCAGCGGATCCCTCTGTAGACTGTAACTGGATCAGAGCCCACTCAAATCGACTTTGTCCGTGGGTGGCGTACCCTGGCAGCCTGGCTATTAACTACCCGGCGGCACATTTAGTTGACGACCCGTCGGGGGCCAACGGAACTTCCGTGAGGAACTTCCGGCAAGGCCACTGTAAACCTTTTTTCACGGCACACCACCAACGATGAAACAGGTATTAGATAGGGCTGATCGTGGAATTATTCAGGAAATGAATCTTGGGAATTACCATTCCTCTCCAGGGATCGTTGAGTAGGTATTTCCGCGACAGCTGAACTCCAAGACACGTTCCCGTGGGATCGACACTGCTAGTATTCTGAAAGCTGAACCTAACGCCAAGGACCCATGTCGGACACAATAACTCAATTGGGAGCCGACTAGGTTCGCGAGCCCGCCCCGAATTACGACGGAACAAGGACCATCTCCCGTTCATTCAATAGAATTATATCGAGATGTCACCAAATTCCACTTTGACATCTCCTAGGGAGATCGTCGCCCGCAGCTTCTGTAGCTGTCCAGCGCCCCCTTTTTACTCTTGCTTCAGACCGACCTTGCCGGCCTTGCGCAAGCCGACGCCTCCAATGAGAGCACAGAGAACCATGAATGAGAACATGGCCCAGAAACTTGCCTTGTAGCCCTGAAGAAGAGCCTCAGCTGGCTTCGATCCTGCATGTTGCTTGCTTACAAGGGTTGATATAACCTGCATCACGGCTAAACCCATGGCATTTCCAAACTGGGACGCTGCGTTGAACACTGACCCGGCCACCGCCTGTTTGTCCTCGGAGAAGGTTTCAGTGACTACTATCAGACCCACAGTGAAGAGGACGTCTGCTGAGAAGGGCATGAGCACCTGTGCGAAGAATGCAGCTGTCCAGTACGTCCACGCGGGGTCGATGAGTGCCATGAGCAGAGGCGAGATTGCTGTGAGGACAGATGTGATAACAACGAGCCATATAGCAGGGATCCTGTGGACAACCAAGCCTGTTGTGAAGTTGAGTGCTATACCCACCACGACGCTAGGTAGGATGCGAAGAGCTGCATTGAGAGCTGATAGGTGCTGGACCTCTTGGAAGCTGGGCCACGATTAACAACGTGGGGTACCAAAACTGTCATTCGGGTTTAACACTTACAATAGACTCGCAAATAGCTCTAGAGAGTTTATGACAGCGTTGGATAAGGCTATGGTTACGCAGATCGTGGTGAAAGAGTGGTTCCGCCAGAACGCATTTGGTATCAAGGCCGGTAGACCCCTTTTCACCTGAAGATGCATCCAACCGACAAAGAGCGGCAGTGCAACAAGACTCAAGCTTAGAAGAACAATACTGCTTGCGTCTTTGATGCGATACACATCTGTGCTGATGATGCTACAAGACCGTCAGTTATGCCATGCCGTTGAATTAAGACACGGGTGACGGTGGCGTACGCTAAGAAGTATGACAGCAGTGCCATGAAAGCTGAAGCGAGAAGAGTGCCGAGCCAATCAATCTTTGTCGCAACGCTCTGAATTACATCCTGTAACGTTCCAAGTGGCTCGGACTTTGGCAGAGACCAGAAGCCCACAGCGGACAAGACAAGATTGATACCACCGTAGAGAAACCAACCTGATCTCCAGCCAATAGTCTCAACCAGCACTCCACCAAGAACGAGCCCAAACGAGAAGCCCAGCGGCTGGCTCAACCCCAGACACGCAAACGCAAGATTCCTCCCCCGTCCCCGCGCCAGCGTCCTCGTCACGAGCGCCACAGAGCTCGAGAGATGCAGCGCAAGCGCAACGCCCTGTAGGGCCCTTAGCGCAACTAGCTGCTCGCCCGCGCGGACGAATCCGCAGGCCAGCATGAGCGAGCCGCTGAGGATGCAGCCGAGCAGATCGACGGACCTGGCGCCTAGCACGTCTGCGAGGGCACCCGCGAGCAGCAGCGTCGAGGCCGTCGCGAGACCCTGCACGGAGGAGGGCCAAAAGGCGAGGGATGGGGGTAGGGAGAGGTCGGCGGTCATTTGGGGCAGACCCACGACGATGAGGCCGTTTGTAGCACTGGCTGCAAAGTTGACGCCGGACAGTTGGAATGTCACTGCTATTTTCTGTAGACGAGATGCTGCTGGGGTGCTGCTGCTGGCGACGGCGTTGGGTGGAGAGTCCACGTAACTCTGTGCCTCGGCAGTTGAGGGCAGCACATCCTCGAGCAGTGTCTGAGTCTGAGTGGCCATTGTTTCTGTGGTCTGTTTCTCTTCGGCAGTTGAAGAAATGTGATATATCTTTGCGATGTGATACCCTCAATTCCAAATATCTCGACGTTGTATTTTATCTATGAGACATAAGCACCATGTAAAACGTCACAAGGGCGTGTAGAATTGGCGCCCTTTTGATGTGGGGAATGTCATGCAAGGGAGACTCGTAGGGTCGTTTTGTCCTCGAGGCGATGGGATCTAGGGCCCCGGAGTCAGCGCTAATGTGGCTTAAGAATGACAGCTTAGTCTAATCCACTTTAACCGAAACCGAGTTTTCATCATCCATATTGAGCGGTCGGGACATTCAAATTGCCGACCAAATGAATATCTGCACGTAGTGGTTGCACCGTTAGTCAGAGATCCAGATATCTAACGTCAGTCTGCTAGATCCCTTCACTAGCTGGCACTCTGTGACCCCTGGTGAAGGAATGATAAACAAAGCTATACTGGAATTGCAGTACTAATCCATAGCTCCGAGAGATAAGACACTCTAGCATCTGAGCCCACTTCACGGCTATAGATCCTTCCGGAGAAGCCCCGCCTAGCATCTTCATGAAGCGATCGCGCTCAACTTGATTTGGCCGATGCCACCACTTATCCGCGTCCACCTTGGCAAACCCCTGATCTTCCCATTTCTTCAGCTGCTTCGGATCGATCTGGTGCCAGGGGACCCCGAGATCCTTGGAGACCTGATCTTTGATCTGATCCATGACCTGCGTGCTGCCCATTTCACCCTCAGGGCCCTTTCCATCGATAAAGAAGCTGTCGTAGATTTTCTTGGTCTCATCTTCGACTCTCTTCAAAGCCGCTCCATGCCATTGACCATTGATTTCTTGTTGTAGGCCACTGGCTTCATCCACTTGGCAACTTTTTCATAGTCGAGTTGAAAGCCCGCGCTATCGTAGGTCGGGGACCCATCTGGTCCCTTACGGTGACATCGATGTAGATCGTAGAATGAATACAATGGGTCCGTATGCTTGTTTCTATGCTTGGGGATGTGGAACTTTGACAGAAAGTCCTCACCTAGTTCGCGCTCCTCATACCGGGGACGCTTGACGCGACCCGGCGTTGCTCGCGGATCCCGGATCTGAGAGTGGTCGAAGTCGAACTCGAGGTCTTTCTCTGTAAGTGTGGGCTTCTGTCCATCTGGCGTCGAAGGGCGAGCATCAGTTGTCTTGGCCTGTTTGGTCTTGGGCTCTGGCGCAGAGTCCGTCTTGCTCGACTGTCTCTTGTGACCGCGCGAGGTGGCGTTATCCTCGTGAGTGTCGGTTCCGCTCCTAGTTTTCATCGTAATCTGAACACAGATAGTCTTGGTATGAAAGACAATTGAAAGATAGGCGGACTATTGAGCTAGTCAACTAGTTTAAATAAGTTTCATGTAGGGAGTAGTTAGTTACGTTGATATCGTTGGGAATCCAAACGTCATCATCGCGCGTGGGGAATGTCGCGGCCACGTGACTTGGCCGACGCCTAATATCTCAACACCAAAAACGTTTTCCACCACAACTCCACCATTTCAAGTCGGAATGGGTCCGAAAAATATGCATTCGAAAGCCAAAACGATTCTGATTATTTCGTACTGTTCAAAAAGTCGAAAAAGAAAGCCCATGGCGAGGATCGAACTCGCAATCTTCTGATTAGACTATTCTGTGTTAGAGGAATTCGAACTTGGGCACTTGAAGATACTTACAGTCAGACGCCTTAGCCATTAGGCCACACGGGCATGTTTTTTCGTTACTAAGCTCTACCTGCAATCTCTAATCAGGAAGGAACCGTCCCTTCCAGCCCGCTAAATAATTAGTCACACTCAATAGCTATCCATTTTCCTAAATATTAAAGAATAAAGATATAATATTTAAAACACACAGTTCCTTAGCCTTAGTTAAGAGTAATGTATTTAGTGCCTTGCCATTTTAATAATAATTTTTTTTAATATACTTAGTCTAACTCTTATTAACTACTAATTGTATTTTTATCTAGCGATATTATAAATATTCTTATTCTGCTGTTAACTTCGTTCAGTTTATCAGTATTAAATAAAGTGCAAGCCACTTGAACTTGTTTTCAAGTACTCTCTATAAAGCTTTTGTATTACCTTGCTGGTGTTTATGCGATGACGCCAGAAACCGGCCTATGGCTTCCCATTCAGGTGCTTCATGCGCTCCTATGCACAACTGATCGATCTACAAGATGACAGGTAGGCCCGATGGGAAATCATGATGATTTGCCCACACGCGTCATTCAGGGTGTTGAAAAATGCGTCTTCTGATGAGTATATCGCGTCTTTCAGCTTGTTGAACCAAAGGGAAAAAAAGAGAAAAGCATGAGTCCGTCTAACTGATTTGTCCAGAACGTCCCTTCGGATTGAATGCCAAGTCTATTTAACAGTATCGATAGCTGACTATGGAAAACGAAGGACATCAGCAAGGATCTCGCCATTGAGGTAGCTTAGCAAACATGCCTCTCCATCTTGAACTATGCCTTTCCAGCTAATATCTAATCTTGTTATTTCCATAGCCCCTGGTCCATAAATCCTTTCAATAGGTGCACTAGTGCTCCTACCCTTAAAGTTAAGCTTCTTTTGGCGAACCACGTCCCTGTTATTACTGCTATACCTCAAAGGGAGAACATTTAACATGGGCCTGTGTATAAACCTGGACGAGGACACGACCATGATTGATCAGAAGAAAGTGTTCACAATCATCTAGCATTCATTGTTACGATGGCGATGATCGCGTTTGTTTGGAGGCGGGTGGCCAATAGTGAGTTTGACTGAAGTAGGGAGAAAACGTCAGATTCATGCTCATGAACTGAGAGAACTTACTCGATTAGGTCTCTGAGGTTTTTCATATTGCTATGCAAATTGTTGAGCTTACTATTAAGGTTACGTGCCACAAAACTTCACGCACTGTCCCTCATGATTTGCTTTCATTGCCACTGGGCGTAGCTTCACTTAATTTTGATGTTGTTCGCGTAGTTTCATGACGAGTAATAGTGTTTAAGAGCTAGATAGAGCTCTCTGGCGTTCATTGCACTCGTTGTTGAGATATCTAAAACCCGATGAGGTGAAAACACTTGAACTAAGTTCAATATGGTAGATCTTTACTTTTTTCCATGGCATGGTTTGATCCATTCGTCCCAACTAGCTTGTTTAGCTTGCACTGCATGAGTAGAGTGCCGTACTGCTATTGGGCTGGTCCGTTGTCTTCTCATTGTGACCTCATGCATCTCACTCTATACTGATCTTATCTGTGTTTCCACTCCGATCCTTTCCCCAGTTCTATAGCATCGTGTCTATCGAGACACGTTTAGTTATCTTCGTGCTTGCTGATTCGGCTTGTGGAATGTTGCCTTTTCTCAGGCTTGTGTTTATTCTTCAAGATCTTGAGTCGCCACAGATAGTCTGCTATTAGCGATGATGGGTAGGAAACAGATAAAGAGTTATCATAGGGAGGATAAATTATTGCAGAATATTTCTCCGCAGTAAACAAGTAGTTAGGTGAATAAGCGGAGCGCTATACTCGTGTCAACACTGCATCTTCCTGTTACCCGCGCCCTTCGTCACACCAAACCATGGTCAGATTGCCCAACTGAGTCAGCATCTTGACCTCAACCCTCTGCTCGTTTGGACCCCCATGGCAGATACGCTTACATCAGCAGCAAGATTGAACATAAAACGTAACTATTGAAGTTAAATTGGAAGATATTGGGCATCTTAGAACAGCCCTGGGTCTCGTCAATGTCCATGGGATGGTTAGTAGAGGGATTAACTTGGAAGGGTTTGAACCACCTACCAATCGTGATACGACCGGGCTTTAACCTCAGGAATGACATTAGGCTTCGAATCATCGTCAAATGACAACTCTTCAGCAAGAAATATGAACACACTATGGATCTACACCTTGGCGTGGGTGCATCTCAGCCGATAGCATGTTCGTACCTCTATACAATAGTCCAAGGTGAGCTTCGCCACGAGCAGATCAAAATACTGCCGAGACGAATCTAGAATTATCACGTCTCCTTTGAGGCCTCTGGAGCATGGGGTGACGTTGGGTGATTATGCAAGCCAATGGAGTGAAGTGAATCATGGAAGGCTGTAGATGGATAAGGGGAGGAAAATTAGGCCTTTTATCCTAAAGTATGAAAGGATTTAGGTAAATTTAGGCAAACTTAGGATAATTTAGCATAAAACCAGTAGAGTTTAGTTAATACATCTTTTCCGTGGCTTAGGTCAAAATCTGGAGTTCTCTTGCTCTTTGGGAACAGGCTACCAGGCGAGACGAAAGACATGGCAAATTGGTTTGTCTCTGGCCAGCTTGAGAAATTTGGTCTGGGCTCTGCATCTCTATTCTGCCAATTTGCAACGAATAATGCCAAATCCTATCCTCTTGAGTGATCGTGTCGTCCTCACCAAGAGATGGTCCCGTCAATTGGCACCTTCCCCAGCACGCGTGCCTTCCTCAACAGACAACATCGCTGTGTTCCTCCCTCAGTGATCTACACCTTCATCCTTTCTAAATAGAAAGCTCCTACCGGATAAAATCTCATCTTCTCATCTTCCAATCTGCTCAACCTTTCCATCCACATTCTGACTTGTCTTTAAGCATCATCACCAACTGCATCGCCGCCGCAACCGCCGCCGCAATGCATCCAACGATGCCCCGACTCGACGACTTGCTTGCCCTCCTGGAGGTGTTCTTTGCCCCAGAGAGAGGGGCGCTTCCAGGAGGGCGGCGACCAAGGCAGAGCTTGAGGCCCAAGCTCGTCTTCCGCCCCTCTCCTCCTCCTCCCCTCCCGCCGCCGCCGCCTCGGGCTGATTGGCCGTCTCCTCTCGTCATCCCCGCCTTGGACGTCTGTTTTGGACTTCCCTCTCCGACGTTCCCATTCTGTTCCATCCGCCACGACTTCCGGCCAGCGATGCGTGTGGTGACACTGCCTGCATGCACGCCATTTGACTTCAGACTTCGGTTAGTTTCACCATATTCGCCCTACCACTTTCAACAGTCGCTGAAAGCTACAGCTGAGGGTACTTTCAGTGACCAGTGCCCGTGTCGTACCCAATCCGTCTACCGGCTTCGACTTTGACCTTCCTTCAGCGTCTCCTTGCCATACCTTGAAGCTATTTGACCTTCCGTCGACTCGCTGTCACCACCTTACCTACGTCGATTGACAACCTTGCGTCCCACCTCGCGAAATTCCAGTCATCGCCAGGTTTCTCTCCTTTGCTTGCGCTTTCATTGGCTTCGCCTGCCCTTTGAGATTTCTGCCTTAACAGCCTCTTCTCTCCCCTGTGACCCTGTCATCCCTTTGAGGGTGCTGTCTCTGCAACCTCTCGCTCTACCCATCGGCTTTTCTTCCTTTGAATATTTGAATTACTACTGGATATTTCACCAGTTCATCTCGTCTCGCCAAATTTGCCTATCCTTTGAGGATACTCTTGTCTCCTGCTGGCGCAGTTCAATACGAGGGCGTTGCTTGTTATCATGATGCCATGGTCGTCCAGATTGTGGAAGCTTTCGCTGGAGATATTAATTTCCAGTGATGGGTTGTGCAGTAGCTGGGGACTGTTTCGCCCGGGCACCGGACTGTTATGGCTATCGTCAATGTGAATCAAAGTGGTCACAGGGGATCGCATGACGCATAATTCCACGGATAGTTGAAGTACGGATGCGAAGAATATCTAGAGATAGCCTTTTGAACGGGCCAAAGGTAAAAGGCTGCGGATGGCTATTTTTGCCTGGTACTTCCACTGGTTGGTCAGAATGCGCAGGTATCCAACATCTTATATATTCCATGTTTCGTCGACACCGCACGATGAAAAGCAAAGAAGCCAGACGTTTGTGGGTACTCCAATTTTAACACCGCCTATGTTATCATTATGCAGAGAGGATCCTTCCCCTAGGCAAGCCAACCCTGTCTCACACATCAAATCCCCTTGTGATCAAGTACGTCGCCTGTCTGCACTGGTCCACTACCAACATGACGCTGCCTCAAATTTCCAGCCTCATCATGCTCTGCATCCCATTTCTCAATCTCGACAAGAGGAACCCTAACTAAACGATGCGTGTTGGCACCATTTGTGTCAACTTCGAGAACTTCCGGCCGAATTGCATAACCCTTCCATCGAGGGATGATGTAGATCCAGAACACGTAGTAGACACCACAAAGAATCATGCTGCAAAATTTATGTGATCAACTTCAAGTCCAATCGAGTGTAGTCAGGCAGGAAAACTTACATTGCGATGCCGACTACGCAGTAAGTTGCGTACCAAAAGCTCACATCACCAGCGTACGGGCCGCCCTTTGGAGGATACCATGGCATGACAATGATGAAGATCTGAATCAGTATGAAGAATATTGCTGCGACATCCCATGCCTTGAACTCTGGAGGTCCTCTTCCAACGCGCTTGTTGTGACGCCGGACGATGTAGAGGCCAATGCTCATGGCCAAGAAGAAGAGGCCTTCGGGGTATGTCTTGAGACTAACGACTGGGTCACAGTCAGTAGGACGAAGGCAAGAAGCTTGCGATACGAAAAGCTTACCAAATTGGAATGCATCACCAGCAGGCGGAGCTACGATCATGATGAACGTCATGGCCCACTTCAGGAGATAGGGTCCGATGGGTGTTCCGAAGGGCTTTGTTGATACCCAAAAGGTAGTGAAAGGCAAGACTCCTTGGCTGCAGCATGAAATCAGCAACCGAAAACAAGATATGGGAACATGGTAACAGACCGTCCGATCTCACGAATCAATCGCGAAGCGCCAATCAATGTTGCAAGAAGGTTGCCGTACGCACTGAGCAGCACAAGAACATTCAACGCTGTCACAGCACCACTTGTGCCAAAGACACTGGTGAAGAAGACTGATGCAGCGATCTCGTTTGACTCTGCAAACTCTTTCTTCGGGACTAGATACTCGCTTTAGTACATTGGGCCGTGTACCTCATGGCACTTTGAAGCTTACCAGCAGAGAAATACGCGACGTTGCACAGCATGTATAAAACAGCAACGAGAAGGACAGAGATGAAACCGTACTTCTTGATCGTAGGGATCGGTCTCTTCACTTCGTTGACTACGTTGAAGGCGTTGGCGTAGCCAGTGTATGAGAAGACGATGTTGACTAAGGCTGTTGAAAGGTCGTTGCCGTTGTTGGTTGTGCCCTCGAAAGCGTTACGGAAATTGGCGTTTGGATCTGGGATTCGAGAAACGTTGCCGCCGAGAACCACGAAGCCAGTGATCGATATGCTGCGAAAGTTAGAGTGAGAAGATTGAGGAGGTGCTGAACTGACAAGATGAGGGTGATAATTTTGAAGACGCCCAAGACATTGACAGCCCAAAGGGAGTATTTGTTGTGAGCGATCACGCCTAAATCTGTATGAGTCGACTCATGTTATCAGGTCCTTGGGATACTCACAAATCACAGCCAGCGTGTACGCAGCGATGGCCACGCCCTTCATTTCCCAATCACTAGGCGTCTTTCCAGCGATTCTCCAGAGATATCGAGACAGCACTATACAGCCAGTTAGTAACTGTCAACCCAGAACAATACCGGCAACGAACCAATCGCATTGCTGCTGCTGAACGACAAGGCAACCGATTGCACTGCATACGCAATTGGAAAGAAATGCTTCGGTCGAGGGTATGCTTGTTCGAGGTAGACAACTTCGGCTCCGGATCGACTTGGGAAATAACTGGCAAACTCAAGATATACGCAGAACCCGGCAATAGCCATGATGAAGCCGATGAACCAGTAGATAAGAGCGAGTCCTATTGATCCCGTGGCGTTGAGGATGCTTCCGGCTAAAGCAGGGTCAGCATGCTGATTACCAAACAAAAGACATGATGATGGTACATACGCGTAGAAAAGATACCAGTGCCAATCATCTGGTTGACATTCAAGAAAATGATCGTCAACCATCCAACATGGTAGCCCAAAGGTGAGTTTGTCTCGACGGGCGCGCCAATGGCCTCCTGATATGAAGCCTTCGCGTCATTTCCGCCCTGCACACGCGTAAAAGCAAGGTTCCCGTCGCGAAGAAGCGCAGGATCAGAACTATCAGACGTGTAGTTCTGATCGGCATCAACAACAGCTGGTTGAGCCTTTGGCTGAGGACGCCACTTGGATAAAGAGAATCCCATGGCAGAACAACAATGGGGATAATTCTCAAGATGGGGGATACTTCAAAGTAACACCAGCAGGCCAGTGCAACCTCACATCTTTAAACAATTCGTCTTGTTAGTAGCCATCGGGATATTTCAAGATACGAGCATGTCGATCCCTTTGCCCCCCGGTTCCATGCAGATTGGCTATCGATTGCGTGACGCTAATGACCTTCCAGACTGGTGAGAGCACGCCATAGGCCAAGGCGTTGACGCCAAATTGAGTGTTACGCTGACAGGGAGCAAGAGCATCAACGAAGGACCTTTTGGAAGGCCAAGACACTAAGAAGGTGATTGTAACGTTGATTCGGAGGTTTCAGTCAAATGATAAGCTGTAGGAATATGGTCTAAGTCTTTAAGAGGAAGTTGTTAAGACGGTAGCCAAAGTTCGTCTGCATCAGCGCCCGCAGCTTGCATTTTACCTTTGGCTAAATTGATCACTGCAGGGTCTTTAAAATAAGCATAATGTTAGTCTAGGCTGACTGTATTACGGGCCTGATCCGGCTTTCAGTCATGCCATGCTGTGTCGTCGTATCAAGCCTCATAAGTGATGAAGGAAAAAAAGCGTTTTAAAAGAACCATGAGAGGGGATAACAAATGCTTCGATTGACGCTATGACCTAACATCTGATGATCAGATCGTAGAATATATTGGTGGAGGAAGCCGTTAAAAACCTTGCTTATTATGACTAGGCGGCGGACGAGACCCAAAGGTAAGCCAGATGCGAGGGCAGTTATGGGATACGAAAGCACCCGGAATGGACTCAGAAGGATTAAAATAGAGGCAGAGAAGGGTAATAACGTAGACAGAAGGATGATCCTGACAACAAGCGAATCAGATACACCGACACGTGCAACTCGTCTACAACAACTCGTCGACCTCCTCAGAGTGCTCGCGAAAAGTGTTACGCCAGGCAGCATTCGTCTGATGAGCAGCACTAGCCATGGCTTCCCTCAACCGCTGTTCAGAGGAACTAACCCTTCTCGAGGTGGAAGCCTCATCGAATTGTATAATGCCCCCCTCACACTCAATGGTCTCGACTCTCTGAAGCGAAGCGCCTTCCAAGGAGGGATAGTCCATCTGGTACTGGCTGACAGTCTCCCCTAGAGACTCTTCGTCCTCTGAAGGGGGAATTATCGTCCTTTCATTGATGGGACCGGAGAATTCCTGAGACTTCGAGGGGGGCTCTTCGAAATCGTGCCTGCTGGATGGGGTGTGGAATTCCTCGCTGGGACTGCTACTGGGGAACGGACCAACATTATCATCACCGTAGATATCCGAGTCCTCATCTTCATCAGGGTAGATTCGGCCAGCAGGAGTGCTTTCATCTGGTGGCATGGACACGCTGCGACAGGGACGATGCGTCTCGGTTCCCTGGCGGTATGGCATGTGCTGAGACAGATAAGCGCTGGTATGTCTCGATGCAGATTCCATGGCGCCGCGAACCAAAGCATCTCCGATATCGTCCCGGTCGTCATCGCTGTCGGGTGACTCTGCTCGCCTTGGCTCTCGATCACTGACCAAGCATTCGGTCAACTCCGCAAAAGAATTTCGGAGTTCGTCATCGATGTTTCCGTTCTCAGGTGACATTTCCAGACTTGATTCCCGAACGCTGCTCAAGCTGGTCAATGATCCCTGATGGCTTGGCGGCGACATCAACTCTGTCACATCATCGTCAGTAACCCAGACCCAGAAAGACACATAAGGTCTTCAACTTACTCATTCTGATGAATTCATCATCCGGAGTCTGGCGATTCTTTCTCGCTAGCCAATGATCAACCAACGCCTTGAACTGAGGTTCTTCCTTATCACCGTCATAGACACGAAAGTCCTCTTCTGCAGCCCAAGCAGTCTCACATTCCCACGGAAACCTCTTGCCAAGCGTAAAAAAGATGACGGGGTATACCCTCTTGTTCATCTTATGTTGACCGTCTTTGTATCCCTCTGCCCAAACACCAGCAAAACCATGGCCTTTGTCGTAGCAGGCTGGCAACTCATCTACCGACTCCAACAGTCCACGGTCAACTGGCACGAGGTACTTGCTCCGAAATCGCGGGAGGGATTCCCAGGGAAGAACGTAGGCTGGGTAGCAGATGCCATCATCTGGCCACTCGATCCAGTATATCGTCTTGGCGGTAATCTCAGCGGGCTTCTCAGTGCCGTCCAGCTCTCGCGTGAGGATGGTGCGCTTTCTGGTGGCTGCTACTTGTCGGACAGGAATGTGCCTCGGATGCGAGGGGTTGATATCACCAAGAAGCGATGCCATCTCGGCGTCAGTGCCTTGGTCATGTCGAGGACGATAAGTCTTGTCGTCGGCGTCTCTGTTGACTTGAAGCCCGGCCTTTCGCTTCACCTGCAAAACGACCTGATCGTTGTGTGCCTTTGCAATTGCAGCGTCACAGCCAACGATCTTGATGCCAAAGATTTCAATGGCCGATGCGCGGGTAGGTGGGACTCCATGCTTTTTGGCATGCCTAGCGGCGGCCTGCGCTGGTCGCGCAAGGCCATCGAGGCGCAAAGTGTGCTCTTCACATTTGAAGACATACCACTCGCCACTTCCAGATGGCGTCTCAGTGAGCTTCTGACAGGGGAACCTATCTATTTCTGCGGTCGTAATCTCACGACGATGTGCACGACGCTTGGGAGATGGGTGGCCTTCTGCGTCGGGAGGAGTCCGTTTGCTAGTGGGAGGGCTCCGAAGGGTAGGGCAAGGAGAGGAAGGGGATGAATTTTCTGGATTGAGTGACGTATCGTTGTCGTTATCACCGCCCGCCTCGGTAGCTGGAGTAGGGGGCAGGTTTTCCGTAGATTGTGCCCTTTGCTCGTCGTGATACACAAGCAAAACCCCCATAGCCTCGCCAGTCTCTGCCATAAACTTGTTGATGTATGGCTTGACATCAGCCAGCCTAATAGGATCCTTCCGCGCTTTCCTAGCGATGTCACGGACGACCCTTTTCTTCTTTTCTCCCATCTCTTTAGCATAATTGGCATGGCTAGTAATATCTTTACTATCCGCTTGAAGCTTGAGCATCTCAGCAGCCAAGTCTCTGATACGGTTGTCGAGATCTAAATGCTCGTCTTTCAGTCGTAGGACCTGGTACTGCAAGAGTTCCGCGTGGCATTTTGTTGCGTTCTCCGCGATGAGCTTGACAGTGGCCAGCAGGCTGAAGCAAGATTCAGTCTGGGAAGCAATATCGCTATCCATGATGACTGTGTGTGTAGAAGGAAGACTTAGAGGTGTGACAGTAGGGTATCCGAAAAACGAAGGGTTTGGTAGTATGTTGATGTTGAAGATAGTAAGAACGATGAAGAGGGGAAAAGAAATAAAGAGAGGATGAGCAAGATAAATAACCAGTGTCTGTCTGAAAATGTCTGTTTCCGCATCAGTGCATATACAAACACTTTCTCAGGTTGAGCCGTCATAAAACTGTGTCTAGTGGTTTGTTGTGTTACACAGTTTCCAAGAGTTGGCCAATGACAGTAAAACATTTCTGGGCAAACATGAAGTGGCTTGCAGAAGTGCATGCATCTTGTTATCTCTTCTCTCAGGCATTTTGATGTCAGAGGCAGGACTGTAAGAGAATCCCAAAGACACAGAGGTTATAGGTAAGCTTATGAAATAAGTATTTCTATGCTGTTGAAGATGTCCTCAGCAGTATCGTGGCATGTTTGGTGATATCATGTGTCAAATCTGAAGATCTAAACACCTTGCCATCAGGCACAGTCTCCGGCTATATGCAGTGCAGTGGAGTCCATACATGGGTGCTTCAAGACAAGCTGTCATTCGTGTTACCCAATCTGCCAATGTGCTAGAGTACGTATCCGGAGAGTCATGAGTCGCATTGTTCAGAGGCCAAGATAGCCTCTTATCGGGAAAAGAGACCGCGACATCGACGAGTGCCAATAAAGGCCATTAAAGTGACTGCGACACTGTCAAGAGAAAACAACGACTTTCTCCACAACTTGAAGCATATAAACAACTCTATTGGTCTCTGGAGTGTGATCTGTGTTACCCCTTGACCATGACTTCAGGCGGTGAGACAAGGATGCTCGGTTATTGCAGCAGTAACAATGTCGCACAAGCCTGATCTAACGCTGGGATCTAGATCAGTGCTGCTGATAGCAGAACTGGGATGTTTCAGGCGAATGCATGGCGCATGACCCCAGAGAGCCGTGCAGCCTTATGACCTCTTTAATGACTTGTCGTCAAAAACTGACTCCAATATCCAGGATATTTCTCTTTGCCTTCCCAACGTTAAGGGAACCATAAGCGGGCTTCAATAGAAGCTGAAAGAATGGCTAATTGAATAATCATCACCACGTACAACGATATCTAGAACGATATTTGAGCTTATTATTAAAAGTCCAGTTCCAAAAGAATTATTCACCGCATCTCGGAAACATCAAAATGGCCTCTCCTAAATATTCGCCTCTTGAGGAGGAACTCTTCAAATTATATCGCGAATACCGTGAAACAAAGTCCATCGACGCCAAAGCCCTCTTTTTCTCACCAGAATGCCGTCAGATATGTCGCACAGACCCAGCCTACGCTGCAAAAGACCGAGACACCATCCTCCGCTACCTGCGCGAATCAGGCCAAGTCCTCCAGAGAATCTACCACGAAGCGGGATGGGACATAAGTGAAATGGATCCAGCTTCCGTGAAAAACTTTTACAACATGCGACCACTCCTCCCAAGCGAAAAGGAAGATTTCGCAACGGTCATGGAATTGGCTCCCGCTGGGTTTGCGTCTTTGGAGGAGGTTCGCGACAAGGCAGAGGTTGAGAAGTGGGAGGGGCTGAGGGTTAATATGTGGACGGAGGATAATAAAGGAAGGGGGATTTTGGTCAAGGTTCAGTATTGGTGGCGGAAAGAGGATGGCGTTTGGAAACAGATATTGCATGATATCATGTTTTTGGGGCCTGTTGATGGAACGGAGAAGGATGAAAGTGGTGTCTTGGTAGAGGAGGGAGTCTGATACAATTAATCTAGTTATCAGCTGTCTAGGAAATGAGCGTACTTCTCGCGAGATCAAAACTCAGGATGCTTGCCCTGTAAATTGACTGCAGTTCGTCGGAGGAGCAAAGATCATTCTTCTCAGCAGCAGTCAGGCTACAGGGCGTTGGTGCTGTATTCAACCCCGCACCTGCCTGCTGCCAAGAATTCTGTAAACGCTAGGCCCAGTAAAGCCCAGGCACCAGAAGCTGACTCTAGACCACTACAGGCATAGCCTTCCACCATTTCAGGTCACCCTTCTTACCAGCAAGACCCTATAAAGTGGCCATCCCCAATTCGTCTTGACAGCTTCACCTCATAATACCGAGGTTAAAATATCTCTTAGTGTCGGCCTCTGATCACACAAAGTCATTTCACTGCGACAATGCCTAGTCACTTTCTCGAGAACCTACCACCTGAAGTACTGTTCAGCATTTCGGATTATCTTGAGCCAGATGATCGAAAGAACCTCAGTCTGGCCAATTCCGGTCTTCGGACCGCGATGGCGCCATGTCTCTTCAAGGTCTTACGAGTCGATTGTCCGCTTGTAGAGGATCACATCTTGCCTACCATAGTCGATAAATATGGAGTGAATATTCTGGAATTGAGACTAAATGTTACTTTCTACCCGGAGAAGTTGACTGAGACGGCGGATGAAGAAGAGGAAGAAGAGAGTGAGGATGAGTCTTCCCATGTGGATATGTCAGATAATGAGGAAGGGCAAGACAGTGAAGAAGAGGATGAGGAGGAAAACGACAGTAACGGTGATCCCGACAGAGGCTGGTACTGGGAAAACCCTCCCGCATCAGTCTGGGCCCGAAAAGAAGCAGACACATCAATCGTGCAGGATCTCATCCGATCCAAGGGCCTACCGCGTTGCAAGGGCCTGACGATCTACACCAATGGCGAAAAGGACTTTGAACTCGACGCGGACTGGGACAACAACGATATCGCCAGGAACTACATTTACTTCTGCTGCGAGCCTGAAACTTGGGAAGACGTCGAGCGAAAGGAACGTAGATATTCATGGCGCGCGGCTTTGCGGGATATGTACAGTGATATCGCCACGCTTTCGCCAGTCGATGAGTTTACCATCTTGAACTTTCTCCCACGAAAGACGACGTTCTGGCAGAAAAAGGAATGGTCTGAGTTTCTGGGCCGGTTGAAGAAGTTGACGCTCAATACGTACGGTGGTAATAACGGCGCTGGTTGGCAGGCTAACACATTACCCGGCTTTCACGCTTTCTTCAACGAACTGCCGACTAATGTTCTAGCTCATGCAAACGCGGTGGAGTACTTCAAACTCAAAACTCACGACGATGGGTTTCTAGGTGGTGACGGCTCGTTGTACATACCTCCTGGCTGCATGCCGGCCCTTCGCTCCTTGCACGTTGATGGCATAGCGGTCACATCCGTGCTGACAGATTACCTCAAAGCGACTAACGGCACGTTGTCTAGACTCTACATCACGGAATGCGTGGCATTTTCTTCTGATCCCAATGGCGACGAAGCACCAAGGTGGGCTGATTTGTGGAAAGCTGTACGTCAGGCTCTGAAAGCACCTGCGGAAGTTGTCTGTGTGCCGACTAAGGAACGGCCTATTACGGAAGACGAAGGGGATTACTATGGTGATGAGGTTTACGTGCCGCCGGATGATGAGGATGACAAGATTAAGAACTGGAGGAGGAGAGTGAAGGAGGAAGAAGGGCTTTGTATTTGGCCGTATGGGTGGTTGGATGAGAAGTATGGATCTATCTTTCCTGATCATGAGGTGAACCTTGAGCGTCTTGAGAATAGGGAGGATAGCTTGGAGTTTAAGTTGTTGATGGAGGAGGTGAAGAAGGGAGGCGGTAAATGTACAGTCTCTTGACTCAGGAAATGGATGAAGCATGACCAAGTAGACCAAGAGAGAAAAAGATGCACCTTTTGTGCATCTGAGTCTATAAAGGGTCCTTCCAACTAATGTTGACTTCCATATTGCCCAATGCCCCAGCGGCAGATGCAATACGAGCCATGACAAATGTGATGCAATGATAGACCGCGAATCGGAACCACAATGAAAGGTTCATGCTTTGCAACGATGTCTTGATATCCACCAATAGTTCACGTGTACTCCTGCCTTCCCCTGCCTCGTGTATATCAGGAGCAGCCTCGACGCCCGCCACAGTCTTTGGAACACTGATAACCGCGTCTATGATCTGCAGGGCGAAGAACATACCGATGGTTATGATTCCAATCATCGTGGTATTCTCCTTCGCCCACTCTTCAACTACATCGGCACCGTTTGACAACAGCAAGAGTAGGCCAAGCTTGCAGACAAGCTCTGGTATCTCATCGACAATGTCGCAAGCTAACAGGGTACCGATGAAGTGAAACCACTGCTTAGTTGTGACGCAACGGAGGAGTCTGATGTTTGAGTTGAGAGATATAGGATAATCGGACATGACCGATCGAATCCAGAGGAATTTCAGAGGTGCGAGGATGATCGTTGTGATGCATTTCACGAGGAAGGACGGAAGAGACTTTTTTAGGTAGAACTCCAGAGCGGATTCTGCAGCCGCGCCAACAAGCCATGTTCCCAAGCCTTTGATAGGATATATCGTCGACCAAAACGATGTGTTATTCGTTCGACCTAGGATTCCTGTCGTTCCGTCTTCAGAGGTTGAGGGTTTGAGTGAGCGGACGTGTCGCAGCGAAGTAAGCAATGGGTAATAGTCTTGATATCCGTAGAGCCCCTATCCAGGTCAGCCTTATCCTCGTAACGGTGTCATGATACGCACTGCGTAGATAATCCCTTGGACAGCATAGCCCAGTACACCCAAAGGAATCATTCTAATGGTGTCGCGTTTCAGAGGATATTTGTTTTCGGAAATTCAGGCTGATGCTGCGTAGGCTTATACGTGAGTCAACTGCCGAGACGATGAGTAAACAAGCTTAAAAGGGCGCATCATGACAAATAAAACGTGGCTCATCGGTCAATCTTGCGCAGCCGAAGGATTGTCGGAGATTTCCCAAAGCCCTACGTCTCCGTAAGCAATCGGCCGAATTGTGCTGCCTAAAGACATTCCCTCGACGCTTTTTTCCCTGTGAGGCTGAAGGGAATAGACGCAATTGGCTGGCCTATACGCGCAGGCACCTCTAGGGCCGGAACTTTAGTAGCGGGGCCTTGGCATGGAACCACTGACGAAGCATCGCGCGCGCGCAAAACATCCTCACTCATTGCGTCTCATTCTTATCTGGGCCAGGACCACGGCTCATCGGGACAGCCCTACATACGTGGCTTTCTTATTACCAAATGGATCGGTCTATACGTGCTCAGCGTGTGAGAGCGTTTTCACGCAAGACTCGTACAGGCTGTCTCACGTGGTAAGTCCCGCATACACTCGCATTCTTCTCTCTTTGACCTAGGTACTGATCCAAGATGAAGTAAGAAGCGACACAAGAAATGCGATGAGGAGAAACCCACCTGTAAGAGATGCAGGGATGGAGGTTATGTCTGCGATGGATATACGCCCCAATCAAAGGTCGCCATGACAAAGACGCAGAACAGAGCTCTGCCGATTCTAGCTGCCAAGGTGACGCCGCCACGACCTCTGCTACCGGGCGATACGCTTGAGTCGAATTACTATGTTTATTTCTTCTCTGATATCATCAACCAGCTGGAGATCACGCCATATCTGAACAGGGAGTTCTGGAATAGGAATATTCTCGTTCCGAGTCAGAGTAGCGAATGCGTTCGACATGCGGTGCTGGCTTTGGGGGCGACGCATTGGCAGTATTCAGCACGGAACGAATCATCGACGGCGTCGCTTGATCGATTCGTTTTAAAGCATTATAACGAGGCTATATCGAGACTTACAAGCAACCAAGATTCACCGCCGGACATGTCAACAGTCCTGACGTGTTGCATATTATTCGTCATTCTTGAAAGTCTCCGTGGGGACTTTGGCGAAGCAATTCGACATCTCGAGTCCGGAACTAGAATCCTCACAAACTACGTCCCAAGAACATATCTTCCCAACCGCGATTTCCAAGAACTAGCCTCAATATTCCATGCAATCGCCTCCCAAGTCGCCATCTTCTCACCCGAGCGTGTTTTTCCCGACGTGACGCATCTCTTGATGCCTGCAGCAAAGGACCAAAAGCGAATCGAGGGAGAATTCAGAGATCTTGATGAAGCAGAAGATGTCATGAATAGGTTTGACGACATGGTGAATCATATTTCCTGGGATCTTGATCAGGAATGGGAGAACGAAGAGTCAGAGTGTAATATGCAGTGGTCGATATTACGAGAAAACGTACAAACCTGGCAATGCCAGTTCGAAGTTTTGGTCAAGAAGTTATCAGCTGGAAAAGAGCCCATTGACAGCGAAAAGGTTTTGAATTTAAGGATACAGCATAAGCTATGGGAACTTCTCATTGAAGAAGAATCCTCCGTCGACGAAGACGCTGAAGCTCATCTTGATCCTGCCGAGTGCAACATTCTGCTCGATCAACTGGAGAAACTATGGTGTAATCCATCCCGACCACGCTTCGGTCTCAAAATCGACCTCACAGCAGCTTTATTCCAACTCTACGTGTACTGCACGGACGAAAATGTGCGACACAGGATTATCTTTATGCTAAGAGCGCAGAGCAGGAGGGAGATTATATGGGACAGTGGCCAATTAGCGGATTTTCTGGAAAACGACATGGTGTTGCGAGCTGTTGGGCTACAAAGGGATCGATGGCCTGAGATAGGACCCTCAGCTAATGACGGAGCATTGCTGGTGTTTCGCCCAAAGAGCTCAAGGGAAAGTTCCGAATCTTGATGCACGCATTTTTGGCGCTCCATTGAATGGGTTAGAGCATGTCACCAAGTGGGGAGTGTTTGTACGCGCTGCCTAATCAGACGCTGACATGGAAGCGCTAGTGAATCATGGCTGTTGCTTGTCAATGTGGCTGGGAGTTGCTTATATTAAGGATCTGTACGCACTTTGAGAAGCGATTTGATGAGATGTACGCCATGTCGTGCCGTGTCTGTGCCGAGATGCGGGAGGCAACTCGTCTGGAATGCTGATCAGAGGCAGATTGGTTATAAATATGCCAACCGGGACCATTGATAAGACTTCAGGACTCAGATCAACACTATCAACTCCAAGTCACAAGCACAACAATCGCCCAACTTAAGCACCATGCATTTCAGAAGCCCACTCTCGATCGCAATGGCAATCATCTCCTACGGAGTATCAGCCACCCTGGGCGCACAAGCTCGCCCCAAAGCAGTCGTATACCGCGGCCCAGCTTCATCAGAAGGCTGTCCCGAAGGCGTGCGCGACCTCCTCGTCTCCTCCCCATCCAACTTCGAAGTCGTCTTCGCTGGTCCAAATGAACCAATCGACGTGATTGAAGCTCTCAAAGGTGCAACAGTGTACGCCCATGGCGGAGGACCAAACTGGAAAAAAGCATACCGCTCAACAAAGAAATACGAGAAGGCTATTCAGGAGTTTGTCAAATCTGGAGGTCATTACCTTGGTTTTTGTCTTGGTGCTTATCTGGCTGGGCCGGTCAATGGGTATAATCTTCTTCCCAAGGGCGTTGATACGGAGCAAGAGATTGAGCGGCGAAGAGCGCAGGTCAAGGGCGAGGAAGATACGGTCATCAACGTTGATTGGACTTTTGAGTCTGGAACTACGGAGAAAAAGAGATGGTTGTATTTCCAGGATGGGGTTGTGATCAGGGGCATGGATGCGAGTAAGCCGGGGAAGATCGTTGGGAGGTATTCGGCGAATGGCGATGTTGCTGCTTCGATTACACCGTATGGGAAGGGCTCGGTTGGACTTGTTGGACCTCACCCCGAGGCTGATGATACGTGGTGTAAGTATTGACCTGGCTAATTCGCTTTGGCTTGTGAGACCTGCTAACTGTTTCACAGACGAAGGAGCGGAGATTCAGAACCCTGAGGGTATCAGATTTGATATTGGGCATGACTTTGTTGAGGCTACTGTTCATGCGGGCTCTCACAAGCGCTCTTGATTCGAGTGTATATTATGCAGCGATCTCGGACTTCGTTGAATAAACGACCATGGGGAACGGCAGAGGCCATAGCGAACATAACAGATTTTCTTCTCTTTAAAAGCTTACAACCTACACCTTGACTGATAGTTTGTATTACTCTAGCACTTCATAGCTATTGAAATTTTCATATTCACAAATATTGGTTTATAAGAAGTGAAAGGTTTCATTAAGCTAGGAGATTCTCTAAGCATGTGTTAACAAGACCAGCAAAGCCAATCCATCAGTCTAAAGTCCACACCAGGTTCAAGCGCAAGGCTCATTGCATCTGCAGCTTACTGCAGACCAACAGCAGATCGGATAGAGTCGATGAGGATGTTGTTGTAGTCGCCACCAGCCTCATAGGTACCGAATCCAGCAAGCTTGTACTTGAGAACAAACTTGCCCTTGTCGTAGAAAGAAGCAGCGTTGTCGTAGCTAACATAGATCTCACGCTTGGCATCATAAAGAACAGGCTATTCAAATTAGTCCATATCCACGTGGTTTCAGTGCAAAATGACTTACTGTCTGACTGCAGTTGTCCCAAGCAGAAGCAATTCCAGAGGCAGGGTTGCCCTTGGTGTCGAGGAAGTGAGCCTCCTTGATCAAGCTCCAGAAAGGATAAGTGCCTCCAGGAGGGTTGGGGTTACCGCAAGCATCGATGAGAGGATCGTTGTCCCAGCTGCTTCCCTGGAAGCGATCGGTAGAGTTCTGTGCGGGGTACAGCTGGAGCTTGTGATTCTTGCTCTTGCCAAAGGCGGAGGTGCTGTTGACCTTGAAGCCGTGGCCGTAGTTGGGAGCGCCGAGGACGAGCTGCGAGGCGGGCATGCCGGCGGCGGTCCACTGGGTAACGGAGTTCTCGGCAGCGCCTTGGTCGTTACGGGGATCGCACTTGCGGTAGAGAGGGGCGTTGGGGCCGGCGACGGCGGACCAGGCGCCGTAGTAGTCGTAGTTCTGGGCGTGTTAGTTATAGATAAGATTGAGCAGGGGAAAGTGGCATACCATGAGCATGATGTAGTTGAGGACATCAGCAAAGCCACTGACATCCTTGGAGGCGACACCAGTCTTGTCGTTCCAGGGGAAGACAGATCCAGCGGCAGTGATGTAGTAGTTTTGACCCTTGGGGTCCTTGCGAATCTCCTTGAAGAACTCGAGGAGGTTGGCGGTGTCGTTCTCGTTGATAGCGTTACATCCGAGACCCTGGCGGTTGGGATACTCCCAGCTGAATTCATCAGTCACGTTTATCGTTCTATTTAGGAGATCATGAACTTACTCAATGTCGAAGCCTTCGAAGCCATACTTCTCAACAAAGTTAATGACGTTCTTGACGAAAATAGTGCGGTTCTTGGCAGAGCCGATGTTGGAGGAGATATGTCGGCTTCCGGCCCAACCACCAATTGAGATGAGAGGCTTGACGTTCTATAAACATTGTTAGCCAAACCAATATTGTAAATGTCCTGACGTTTGATCACATACGTGCTTCTTAGCATCCTTGACAAAGCAAGGAATGTTCTCAGGCTGTGATGCAGAAACATTGAGTGATCCATCAGGATTAGTCTCACTACATCCTATTAGTCCTCGTCATCCCAAAAAAAAAAAAAAAAAAAAATACGCAAAAGCATATTTCACATCAGTGTACTTGTCCCAAGGCATAGCCGAGACAGGAAATCCCCTATTGGCGTGGAACCCCGCAAAGTAGGTCGAGGCAACCAAATACCCCTCACTGTTAATGGGGGGAATGACGCTGGCGCTACCAAGGCTCAGCAGGCCTACAAGCGAGGCCGAGATGGCTTTGAGGGACGGCATTGTTATTTTTAAACCGAGAATGAGAAAAAAGAGCGTAAGAAATGAAAATGAGTGAGAGTGATGGATCGGCTAATTGATCGAGGGGGGGTAAGCAGCGGGTTATATATATGTTTGTCGTTATTAACGTTGCATTACAATGCTACTCTAATAAGCTTTCTGAGCAATTTCGGCGCATCGCAATAACAGAAACGCAATGTAGGTACTGTACCTGCAGAACAGAGCATTAAGCCTCAATGTCCAGCGCCCGCGCCCGTCGCAGCGGCAGTTAAAATCCCCTGAATCGAAGCGCTAGCTAGTGCAAAGTTTATTCTCTTTGACTCCCCGCTTCTAGAAAGCAAAGGCTCCCTGTCATTTCCGCATCTGCCGAGCTACGGTTCGTGCTTTTTGCTGAGGCTGTCTCATGTTTAGGAGACGGACGCGTTGGCTGACAGGATGCTACGTCATTGACTGTCGCTTCCATTACCGAGAGAGAGGACAGATCTGAAGCGTTGCCACTGAAATGCTACTGCGCCGTGCCGTTTGACGCGTATGTAATTCAAGATACGGGAACTTTATGGGTGATAGACTTCATCTCATTTCACAGTGAAGGTAATTCTTTGGGTACAGATGATTCAAAAAGGTCCGGTTTTGCCGGGTTGTGGTTGCAGTGGGTTAACTACCGTTCCAAAGGGCCGGGGATCTTCACTGAGGAGACTTCTGTTTTAACCGCTCGGCATGTATTCTGGAGGGTATCGCGAACACGAAACGGGCTTGGGATTGGGTCATGTACGGACGATGAACGGAACCGAACTTGTTTTCTCAATTTCCAGAGTCCAAGACGTGTGACGACGAAAGGATGTCTCTCAGGGTGCCCGACGCGTCGACAGTCGCGTATCACCCGCGTAAGGACGACATTCGGAGAATTTCACGGCTGCGCAACATTGTCCCCGTCGATATAACAATTGAGATGACAAGATCAGACAAAAAAGGCGATTAATTCTGTTCCTTGCGCGACCTCCTGTTTTGTCATGCGAGTGTGCCTCCGGATCAAATTATCCCGGAATTGCCGGCGCATGAACCCCGTCCGTTGGGCATTGACTCTTCATCCCTTTTTGTCGGCACGATCCGGCATCCCACCGTTGAAATCCCACTGCCAAGAATAGACACTGTCGATCAGATCACGGGGTGGGATGATTGGAGGGCCAATGCGAGGTGGTGAAACGTCAAAGCCAGGCGAGCGCTGAGCCCGCTGGTGAGAGGGCTGGACACCATGGTCGGTGGTCTAGGTAAGGTAGTTGAAACATTTGGGCTGACTTTAACGGCTGCGTCTATGATGGATGATAAGATATTACTTTATGGGCTTGAGCCTTCTTCCTTATATCGATCATTATTTTTAAAAACGGTCTCAAAACCTTTCGAACGGTTTGCCATACATTTATCCAAGTTCGATGCACTCTAAAATGGTTTAGGGTAAGCAAACCAACGAGTCAGCCATTTCGGTCACCTCGGGATCTCCTGCCTATTGCGCATCCCTCAATTCTTCCCCACGCACTAACAATCAGCTCGCTTGTGGGGAAGACGATTCATTCTTATCTCTACTCCAGCGACGATAGCCGTCACTCCAACTCTCCATCTGGAGATGGTCTAGTCTCACTGTCGGGATCACTATCTTTCTTGATGCTGTTTCAGCACTTCCGGGCTGTTATGCTGACGGCTTAGCCCGGCATTGACAGATAGCTGTTCGTTATACTCTTTGGGAAACTGACATGTTTCTGGAATTGAAGACGTAGACTAGGAGTTGGATCATGATGACTGAAAAGGAAGATGTAAGTCTGGGGAAACGAGTAACAGTTTCCGAAAGATTTGTGTATATAAACTGTCATGATCTCAGCATCAAATAGACTTCATCACTCACAATCACAATCATCACAGCCTCTGACTTCACTTACACTTCTCCCCAAACTTCTACAACAACCTCCAAAATGGCCGCTCTCAACGCAGACACCCTCGACATGTCCCTCTTCTTCGGCAACCCTTCTCAGAAGCAAGACTTCTGCGACTCCCTCCTCCGCCTCCTCAAAAAGCGCGGCGGCGTCAAACTAATCAACCACCCCATCCCCTCCACCGCCATCCACGAACTCTTCACCCAGACAAAGCGCTTCTTCAACCTCCCCCTCGAGACAAAAATGCTCGCCAAGCACCCTCCCCAAGCCAACCCCAACCGCGGGTATTCCTTCGTCGGCCAGGAAAACGTCGCCAACATTAGCGGTTACGAGAAGGGGCTTGGACCGCTGCAGACTCGCGATATCAAGGAGACTGTGGATTTTGGATCGGCGACTGATGAGCTTGTTGATAATCTTTGGGTTCCGGAGGAGGAGTTGCCTGGGTTCCGAAGTTTCATGGAGGGGTTTTATGAGATGGCGTTCAAGACGGAGATGCAGCTTCTTGAGGCGCTTGCTATTGCTCTTGGTGTTTCTCCTGACCACTTGAAGGCGCTTCATAACCGTGCGGAGAATGAGTTTCGAATCCTGCATTACCCTGCCATTCCGGCTTCAGAACTCGCAGACGGTACAGCAACCCGCATCGCAGAGCACACTGATTTCGGAACCATCACCATGCTGTTCCAAGACTCTGTCGGCGGTCTTCAGGTCGAGGACCAAGAGAACCTCGGAACGTTCAACAACGTTGAGTCAGCTTCTCCCACCGACATCATCCTCAACATTGGTGATTCCCTGCAGCGCTTGACGAATGATACTTTCAAAGCTGCGTGCCATCGCGTTACATATCCTCCTTCTATCAAGGCTGGAGATGGCGAGCAGGTCATTCCTGAGAGATACTCTATCGCCTACTTTGCGAAGCCTAACCGAAGTGCTTCTCTGTTTCCGCTCAAGGAGTTTATTGAGGAGGGCGTTCCTTGTAAGTATGAGGATGTTACTGCTTGGGAGTGGAATAACCGCCGAATTGAGAAGTTGTTTTCTGCTGAGGCAAAGGTCTAGATAGGAGATGGATGACCAGATTGTGATAGTTATAGCATAGCGGAATTTATTTACTACAGTATTCTCTCAATATCGGTCGTCTGCATGATTGTGTCCACTGATCGAAACTCGGCTTTGTTGTCTTTGGCTCTCACATGCTGACAGTTTTGCTCTCTAGAACTTTACCTCGTCTCTGTTAACCTCCATCATTTCATACTCATAATTGTTCGATACTTGGGGTACTTTATGACATTCTCAGATAAGGGATTGACCCAACTTATGTCTGGGTATCCACATCTTACAACCGACTGACGCCCTTTGTCTTGTCTTGCCCAAATCTCCACCAAAAATGCCACTATCGCCCATCACGAGGAGAAGCAATCTCGAAGCTTCAAGCCTCACACTAGAACACTCTAGCTCCCCAGACCAACCTATCAAACATCTCCAATTCTCTCCCCGAGTTCTAATTCGCCAATCCCCATCGCACTCGCCGATAAGCCCCCTCCCAAAAAAGCAAGCAATCCCGATCCCCTTCCTCTTAAGACAGACCCTCACTCCCCCATCTTCAAATGAATTAGTATCGAGTCGAACGAATTAGTATGTCCAACACCAAATCCAGACGAACGCACTCTTTCGGCGGGTGCAAGACATGTCGGAAACGTCATCTCAAGTGTGATCAGTCTCTGCCGAGGTGTAATCGCTGTAAACAGGCGGGATTGACCTGTGAGGGTTTCACGCCGGCGCTGAGATGGTTGATTTCGACGGGGAGGGAGGTCTATGATAGGCAGCCTACGCAAATTGCTGATGTTGGGGCGGAGCAGTATTCTAGGAGACATTTGTTTACTGGTAAGTGAATTGTGTTATTGATTGGCCTAGGCTGATTTTGTAGAGGAGGACAGGGAGCTTATGAGCAATGCTCTTGTTACCAACGTTCCGTCGACGGTGACGGCTGCTTTGAATCAGATTGATGAAGAGTCAAAAGGGTTGGATGTTAAAGATGACGCTGCGAGTATCTGCGAAGTTGGTCCTTTTCAGGTCTTCAAGTTCGAAACTAGCCAATCCGTCACGACACCCTCAGACCATGTCTCATTCAACGATATGGATCTCGACACTCTTTCCGAGAACCAAACCCAGGACTTTTCAGAAACCATCGAAAATGATCAAGCTACCTCTAATGACTTCTCAACAACCTCTCTCGATTTTCTGCACTGGGGCGATTTATTCACCTGGGACGTCAGCGTTCTCGACAATCCACCTCAACTCCCCTACGACAACTTGGACACTTTGCCCATCAACTTTAACTGGCCTAATGAATCCAATATGGGCTTCACAGAGTCTTTGGATATGATGCCCTTTGAAGCAGCGAGCGATGACGTTGCGTGGCCGCAGCTTGATCTCATGATGGATGCACCTCTTCTTCTGAAACACTTCAACGAAGACGTCATCAGCCAGATGGGTTCTCTTCCCATCAACGAAAAGTCAGCTTGGAAGACTCTTCACTATCCATCTGCTATAATGACGCTGAGCGAGTTGACCATGTTGGATGTGGACAGAGATCAGATCAAGCGTGCGAATCTGGCTACGTTTTACGCCCTGATAGCTGTTTCGTCATTCCACCTCTCTCTCAACCCCATAACTTTCCCGAATCTAGCTCGACCGGGCGATCATTGGAAATCACTCTCAAGTCGGACATACGAAGCTGCGAAACAACACCTCAAAGTCAGTCTCGAAAAGGAATCGCAGCCTGGACCGAATAAAGCAAAGTACAAGGAACAACTGATGGGTATAAGTGCCGTATTGGCAACAGCAGTACGTTCCCTATCACCATACACTACTAGATAAACTAACCGCCGTAGCTCCTCTCCGGCAACGAAACAGACACGCGGTGGTGTCTCACAGAAATGGAACGCCTCATAAGCTGGCGCGGCCTCACCAAACCAAGCATATCCCGCCGCGCCCGTCTCCTCCACAACATCTACGCCTGGATGCGCATCGTCTCCGAGAGTCTAAACGTATACCTCGACGAGAACCACGCCATCGAAACCCCCTTCCGCACGACAACCTCTCGCTCCATCAATCCCGACATGACTCTCGACAATTTCCTGCATCTCGAACCGCGAAAACTGCACGGTCAGAAGACGAAACGCGATATCAAAGATATTCACCTCGCAGATGCGTCGCAGGATCATGAGAATATGTATATGCAGATTTACGGCGTTCCAGAGACGTGGCTCAGCTTGGTATCCCAAATAACACGTCTCGCCAACGTAATGGATCGTCTATCCGCGTCTAAAAAGTCCGACGCTGAAGCGCTCATGGCGTTACAGCCGCGCGCTTCATACCTCGAAAACGCAGTCTGTCTCTTCCGCTCACGCCACAATGAGAGCACCATGAGCGCCAGTCCCAGCACCCCAGGCGGAACGCCGCATATGCACATGGTACGCGCCCTCGCCTCCGCGCTGGTGATATTCTTCTACCGACGCATTCGCAACGTGAATCCCTTGGTTCTACAAGATAGTGTCAATGATGTTGTCGAGTCGTTGCATGCGTTTGATGAAGCGTTGGAGAGGAATAATCTGCTTGGGCCGGGGACGGCGTGGCCTGCTTTTATAGCGGGAGCGGAGGCGAGGGCGAGACAAAGGAGGGATATAGAGGAGTGGTTGGATAAGGGGTTTGGGAGGAGTGGGTTTGAGAGTTATAGGGCGTCGAAGGAGGTGTTGGTGGAGGTTTGGAGGAGGAGGGATGAGGCGGAGGGGATGCCGTCTGGGGATGTGTGTACGTGGATGGAGGTTTGTAGGGATTTACGTCGGTGGCCGTTGGTGTCTTAGTCACTGAATGATGATTACGAAGTTATGCAAGTTGTGTCAATGTATTGATCGAGGCTAATGTTTGGCTTTGTCTGTTTCTCCCAGCCCTTGGGCGGCACTTGTGCGTGGTGTACATTGTCGCCGCCAATGTCGGTCAAACTGGGTAGCTAGACCTCATGGCTATCGGGAGATAGCAATAATAGAATACGCAGGTAGCAGACTCAATCAGCAATTCATCGGTCTATCTGCAGAGACCTCAATGTATGTCTGAGCCGTGTGATAGGAGTGTAGCTTCCAATGGCTCAATGGGACCAGAACTGGTGCCACTTGCGAGCTTATTCTTCGTTTCGGGATCGGCCGTTCGTTCGCTTTAGAGATAGCACGTTCGTGCATGCTGCTACGGACGAGGTGGAGGTGGCATCGAGATGCGGCGGCTTGGTTTGAGTCGTCGTGATCAGGAAATGGCATTAATGCAGGGCTGCTTGCTTTTCGCGATGACCAGACAATCTGCACAGGCATCGTGGCAGACACAGCGTCGGCGACTGGTAGGGTTGATCATCTCGAAGGGGCCAGCGGATACGCACGAGTCGTGGGCATTGGGTGCCCTTTGTGATCATTCCCGGCAACGTTCCATCATGGCTACTGATGCATGGCTTTGAACGGTCGAGTGAGTGATTGACGTGGCCACCTATCGCAACCCGACTGCGATTGATCTTACCCCAATGTTGGAGCCTTTGTAGAACAGGTCTCGTAGTACCAGCTATCGGGCCAATCGTCGCGAAAGCTGACCCGTAGACATCGAGCGTTTCTACAGGTGACGAGCTATCCTGAGCTCCGCTCTCAGCGCGGCCGGATCCTAGATGATAAGAATACCGAGACAGGTTTGGAGTGCTGGAGGACGAGCTTAGCAAGCTCTCTCTGGCCTGTTGAGCACCCAAAGAGCTTGCAAAGTCCATCCCCCCATTGTCCCAAACCTATCTTATTGCATGCTCATCCCACCTCAGTGGGCTGGAACCCAGCAAGGACATTCGCCCTGAACCAAGGCACGTAAACATCCCTCGCCCATCTAGCCAACTCTCGTATTCCCGCGACAACAGCATACGTATCAAGAATGCTCTGCGTCGTGCCAAACTGTCTCTCTGTCCAAAGAACAGTCTTGTTCCCCTCCAACGTCGAGAACACAAAGAGCCACCGATGCCCTTGCACGATAATCCCCGGTATAAATCCCAATTGCCCCAAAACATCGTTCGCTTTTTGGCTCCGCAGTACTTCCTCCTCTGCTGTCAAGGGCTGTGGTGTAAGGCCAATGACGGAGCGGAGGAAAGCCCACTGCGCGGCATGCCATACTCCCATCTGGAGCTGTGCGGCGTCGAGCTCTTTGCCAGGACGCTTAGTCTCGATGCTTAGAACTATAGGGGACAATTGTAGCGGCGCGAAGTCGGTGTGGTTCACGGTCAGGGTCGGTGTTCGACGGCCGAGGGCTTGGAGGGCGGGGGAGTCGGTGGGGTTGAGGTAGAGGCAGAAGTCGACCATTTTGGCTGTCGAGGAGTAGGGAATGAAGCGGCGGTGCGGACGGGCGGTGGTACTAGAAAGAAATTAGCTGGAAGATTAGGGATACCGAAGATTGGACAGCTTACCAGGAAGTGAAGTTGAGAGGCGTGGCTGTTGAAGCGTCGGGTTGTCTCAGGATAGCTTGGAGAAGACGATGGTGCACTTCCATATTCCAAGCCGCCTCTTCATGGTTTGTATCATGACAGTGGCGCGCAAAATCGCAGATTTGAGCTATTTCTTCAGGGAGAGGAACTCGTCCCGGCAATGTATCGTCACCCTCTTTGAACGCAAACCTCCACAAGCGCGTATTTTGCCCCCTCACAAGTGGACTCTCCAGAATAGCACTCTTCTTGTCCGCAGGCAATATCTCAATCCTGCTTCCAATTTCCTGAATTGTATCAAGAAGACTGGAGATGACGGGAGGCGCAATGTCAACGTTCAATTGTCTGCATTCAAGTCCTCTTTCTTCAAGTCTCAGCCTGAGCATTTGTTTCTTGGGCGAACTCGACCGCGATCCCTCGCCAGACTCAGACCACGAAGCGGATGAACTGGTTGATGAAGGAGGAGGGAGGTTTGCGGCGCGCGGCGTACGGTCCAGATCGATGAGACGACGGCGCTTTGGAGTTGTCCCCTCCATTGAGTCTGAAGTAGGCGGACTAGGCAGCGCTGCCTTTCGCTTCGAGACTTTGGAGAGGGTTTCGGATGGGGGGTATTCGTCGGGGAGGGAGGCGAGCCAAGAAGCTACACGCTGTTCAAGCATGGTTGGCGTTGGTGAAGTAGTTTCGACATTATTTGATGATGGATTTGTTTGATGGGCATTTTTGGTGATGGATGTTTGAAGCTGGGCTGATGTCACAGAGGGCCGTGAGGTTGGCGCGACAACAGCCCCACTGTATTGGATTTACAGCGACGCTGATTGCTTTTATGGTTATTCATCAGAGCCGTTATATTTCTGAGAAGGTTAAGACCTTAAAAAGACGACGATTATACATAGCAGTATGTGAGTCTATAGTCTACCTTACTGCGCTCTTGAGCGAAGTGCATCAGAAGAAGCCTCGTTGAAAGATGGAACTCATTGCCGATCACGGCCAAGAAGAACCCGGAGCCGATTGAACGGGGATTGAACGGAGGTGTGATCTTGCGAGAGAGTTTGGTCTAAATTAAATTAAATTAAATTCTACTTGATTGTACGTAAATTGCATTCGAATCTAATTGATCTATATTCATATTCGTTCTCACCCTCAAGCGTTCTACACGGTTCAGCACGCAATATCCGATATCGCCCTTAGGCTAATGGTCCGAGGCGTCCGGTCGGATGACTGCATCCGCTCGCCCGATCATTAATTCGACAATCGGAAGAGCAACAATTGTACGAACACAGCCTCATAAACATATCTCTTCATATTGGGTATCATTAACTAACTATCCCACCATCAGCACTTTCCAACATTGCTCTTCAAACATTCTCCAAATACCGTACTGTACATTTCGACGTATCAGGCGACGATCTCATAGGCATCTGCACGCCCGCTGATGACGGTAGGCTCTGTAGGTTGTAAAAGTCAAAGTCCCCCGGATTTGTAGCGTTCGATGGTGATCGTTCCGGTCGGTCGTCGTGCTGTCGTTTCATGTCCTTGGCCAGAGCGTAGAAGAAGGGTGTGTTGGAGACGATGCATCCGCAGAGAATCTCAATTGACGCCCACTACTACACGTTAATAAAAGTTCAACATCAAATGGAGGGAACGTACCATTGATCGGGATCGTTGAGACACGGATTGGTTGAGGATGAGAGGGAGGCGGAGTATCGTGATGGCTACCAGCACAGCGCCAATGCTAAACAAGAAGCCAAGCTGTAGTTTCTCCTTGATATCGAGCCGGAGATGTCGAAGCATCGGAAAGGGGAGGATTATAAGTGCAATGCATATTATTATATTGCAAACCGCCATTAGTATCAGATTGCCGATGGCGCGATTGCATGCGACTTCTGCGGTGCAAATGTTAGCTGACATGCTGTGGCGAAAAGTCTTTCGTCGCTGCTTACTCGTGTCATCATAATTAAGCGCCCACATTCTATCACCTCGTTAGCAATGCCTGGGGACAATCTGCGAATGGGACATACAATGATATTGGGCGACATTCGGCGAGGATTGTTATAAAGACTGCGATGAAGGTGGCGATGATGAACCACCAAAGCGCATCTGTGACGGGTTTGCCCCAGCGAAAGACATAAATGAAGCGTGAATAAAAGGCCAACAGCCCCAGCTTCAAACACCACAAACTATCCCATATCAGCAAGTTCTCTCTCAAACGTATCGGTCGCACATACAACATGGCGTAGAATATCCGCGCAGGTATGAGCAGCTTATGCGAAAGCTCTCTATCCCCATCAATACTCTGCACACTCTCCCCCCAAGTCTGCGCCTCCGCCTCCGTCGCCGGATCGTACGTATGGTCCGGATTCAGCGTGAACGAGAGGATTATACACACAGCGCGTCCAATAAGCGGGAGCACCGCGATGGTCATGTAAAAGTCGTCGATGCGCCATCGTCGGTGACATGTCGTGTGGATGTGGCAGCGAAATATGAGGCGGTACAGACACCTAGCTGCGATGAGGGCGACGCATATAGCAGTCGATGCTAACGTGAGGACTGCGTCCGAGGACGATGCCATGCCTGCTCATGGTGTTGTTGCACTTGAGGTCATTGTTGGAAAAAAGAGAGGGAGATTGTGGAGGAGGAGGAGATGATGGGGTTGGGGGAGGCGAATTGCCGGTTTGCGGGGGACGGGGGCCGTGTACCCAAGGGAAAGGATCTGGGGATCATTCAAATGCCTCGTGAGTGGGCGCTTCGGTTAACGGCGTGATGCTGTTGAAGGATTCGAGACCAGGGCTCGTTGAACTAACGACCGAGCTATCTTCAACGGGAATCGTTTGGCGCCACCTTCACGACGTTGTACACATTAAGCTAATCTGAGTAATGTTTCTTTCTCTGTGAGAAATTCTTCATTTCGTCACTCTGATCGTTGTGCAAAACGGTCGGCGATCCTTGCATTTTGACATGCAGGGGACCTTGCTCTGTCTCAGATGAAGGAGACGCTTTTAATTGATGGTGATATGTTTCTGCGGCGTAGCAGCGTCGTATTCTCTAATTAACGGTTTTTCTCGAAAACTGGGCACGGCAAACTCTAAATTGGCAGTGTTGTTTACAGGGCGCGTGCCTTGAATCTGGGCCGTTTCATCGCCGTTGAATTGGTCTCTGCCGCTTTGACTTTGAGCGCACCGTTCCGGGCGGAAGTCAAAGTGTTGTACAGCGACGATCAATAGCAACGGTTGCTGGCGATAAACGAATGTCGCGCATGCGTCCGGGAGTGCACGCACAGACTGTCGTTAGGTATTTTGAGACTCGTGATGTCGGTCCGGAACACGGTCTAGCGTCGGCGTAGTTGGCTGAGCTGCGGAATGGTGACATTTTAGTTCATTGACCGCCTCAAGCTCAACTGCACCCCGCAATTCAATTGTCAACCATGGTTTGTGATGCAAGGTTGGCGTTGCATCATAAATTGGATCTGCTAAATTTATTTCATTATCACGGAGATAAAAAACATATGACGTTTGTTTACTCTGATACTCGGTAGATAACCGCCCGTGTCATTGGCGACTACCTTGTAGCATAGCACTGTTGCTTAATCATCACTGATGACAGATTCACGCCCGTTGGGCATCAACTCCTCGCTTTACTGTTGGCCTTGCGTGAACACGCGCAGCTCCTCATATGCAAAAATACCATGAAATCAATTACCTGAACTCCTCTAAACATGTCGACGCGTCAGTAAGTCACTACGGCTGCTCATTGTAATACGCCTAAAATGTCTGGTAATACACCTCCGCCACCACCGTCGGCTCCTCCGCTGCCGCCTGCTGCTCAAAAGACAAACACAAAAAAATCATCCTTCATATCGAGGGCGAGAAATACCCCGGAAGACTGCTTCTACCGGCCTCCCAAGCCTCCGACCCAAGCCGATCTCCTCAAGTTGCCTACAGGGCCGTACTTCGTGTATGGAACATTGATGGATCCGAAAATGCTAGCCGACGTCCTCGGACTAAAAGAAAAACCCAAACTACGACCCGCCAAGATCATAGGGTACTCGCGTAAACTCTGGGGACAGTATCCCGCCCTGCAAGACGGCCCGCAGAATGAACAAGTCAGTGGTGCCGTCTATCATGTGCAGTCTGTTGCTCATGCGAAGAGATTGGCCGAGTACGAGACAAACAGCTACAGAGCCAAACTATGCCTTATCCAGTATACAGATGCAAAGGAACCTGTTGAGGATTATGGCCATGTTTTCATGTTTGTCGGTAATCCAAGGGATCTACAAGAGGGGGACTTTGATCTGGAAAAATGGTTGAAGCGAGTGGGACGATCGTCTTATTAAACTCGGAAGATTAAAGGCAAGCATTGTATTAGGAAGACCTTACTCTATGGCGCCTGGAGATCTTGGTGCACGCCCCGGTAATGTCCAGAAATCCCTTAAGTCTCGTATCTGGCAATTTGGTTCGGCATCTCATTCAGATACAACAACCATGGACAAGCTAGTTTGTATGATTTACAATTTCCCGATTATATTTATGCCCCGCGAAGCATGGAATCCCACAATACAATTCCACAAGACTTCTGGTGCCGAGAATCAACTGCAAGCCGCAGACCAAACAACCGGTTCAAAGATCAACTAATTTGGGTCACAAATTCACAGGCACCATTAAGTCAAAGGATATTAAACATCTGTATAAATGCCAACTAAGACAAGAGCCTTATTCTTGTTAGTAGTAATAGCCCAGCTGAACCATTGCCGAGAGCTTGCTGCGATCAAGGTCGAGAGGCATTATGAAAAAGAATGGACCTCAGTGGAGAGCTATTTATGTAAATCGGCTTGGGAGGAGATCGGGGTTTTAGCTGCTTAGCAATTAATTAGAGGCTCCGCCATTCTATTTATTATCATCTTAAGATACTCTATCTTAAGACACACTCCATCTTAAGAAGGAGCCATACTTATAGAGCATTGTCGGCTAGCTTCTCAAGACTGGACGGAAGTCAAAGGGAGCAGGAAATCCTAACCTCTTTTACACCTTATCTCAGGATTAATGAAGCTATTATGAAGAGCAATCGGATGCTCTCGCGTGGTACTGCTCCATTCAGACCAGTCAGTTGTGTTATTTAGCAGGCCCTAAGACACTGTAATTGACTGGCCTAAGCATCCAATAGCTTGCGACAGTTTTGACTTAACACCTGAAGTATACGTACCATACTTCCTTGATATCCAATGCAACCTTGGCCTGTATACCCTTCTCTTTTCACATAGGAAGGCCAGAAGGATCCGTGTTTTTCGGTCCAACCCGAAGTGGGATCATCGAGGCACGCAGTAGTGTTGCACTGAACGGACCATAGAGGGTTGACGTTGCATTATCTCACCTGCATGTGCGGCAGAGTCTTTTGGGACCTGTCCATGCATGCAACACCCTCGGTATAGCCAAGAACCGTGGTACAGGACCAAAAAGGTCCGAGCACGTGCTGAAGTTGAGATGCCCGCTGTGACCCTACTTCTTATCTCGCCGCTGATGGTGGTTCGAGTTCTCGCAGCCTTTAAGACTCGGAGCATCCCACTTAGATTTGTAACCATATTGTAAGATAACGGAGCCGGCCGCGCCGAAAATCAATTGGAAGACCTCCGGAGGAATTTGGGTTCGGACATTAAGCTGGAGGACGAGGTAGTTCTGCATCGCTTGTGACCATAGGCTATGTTGATGTCGTGCTGAGACAACCTTGCGGTGAACGCCAAGGAATAGACGGCCTAGGTTCCGTTTAGGCAATATTAAAAGTGCATCTACGAGTGAATAAGCCGAGAAAACCGCAGGAAAATACGAGATGCAATAAGCATAGCACCAAACAGTTGGCACGGGGCTGTCATGAATTACAACCGGGGACAATGCAGATCTTGTTAAAGTTTGTTTGGGTAAGACTCTCGGCTTAGGAAATAGTTGTAAAGTATCTAGTACGGAATTGAAATGTTACCATAAACATGATGTAAAATTACCAAACCCAAAACAACCCAATCATCACGTGCCATTCTCTTTATCCCCTTCTATCGCCATATCAAGATCACCAGGAGTAGGCATCCACTTCGAGTTCAAAGACAGTCTTGGAGTGGCGCCCAATACCAGCAACAACAGCCCGAACGTCATCACACAGGGATCCGGGGCCTGATACCACGATACCGACTCTCTTCCAGCCTGCTGATGCTTCTTCATCGATAAGAGCAGCAACATCGAATCTTGAACCAATTCTAATGTCCGTCTGTGCAGTATTCACGGCATCGAGGGCTGGCTCGATCTCGTTGACGAGACATCGGGCTTCTGCTTTGACGCTCCATGCCAACTTGACGTTCCAGTGGTTGTGGATGAGCGCAAACAGACTAGTGATACCAACACCACCAGCTATGAGAAGAAGCCTGTCGCAGCGTAGGACCTCTCGTGTGTCGCTGCCAGGGTAAGGACCCTCCAAGAGAGTGAGTAAGCGGTCATGGCTTTCGAGATACTTGGTGATACCAGTCGACTTCTTGATGAATAGTGTCACTCCAGCTGAGATCTCCGCTGAGGCTGATGATTGCCTAACCACTGCAATTTGAGCTGTCGACTTCTCAATATCTTCCAATCCCGAAGAAGCTCCTGGTGAGGTTGGGGACCCAGGTGTAGCTGAGGTTCCACGTCGTTGAAGCGCAACTGTAGGAATGATAGAGAAGGGGTGATTCTCCCAAGGCCGCATTGGAGCAAGTGTGGGGAAGTAGACAAAGACATGCTTTCCAGGATCCAAACCCCATCGAACGCCTGGGACATCTACTCGAACGTAGCCAGCTCCAATGTCCTTAACCTTGGACCTCAGAATACCCAGTCTGATGACCCGTACGACTCGAACCAGGCGTTCGAAACCCCAAAGGGCAATGGCAAGGTAAAGCCAAATCTCGTGCCCAGTTGTGTAACCGGGGGAGTGCAGACGGATAGAGGCATATCGCAGCATGAGATGATACCAGCATCCCACAATAACAAGCGCAGCAATAAGGATGTGCATAAGCAAGAAAAGCTCGTAGTTGGCCTTTCGAACGTAGAGTCCACTTCCAAGGCAGGTAATTACAGTGAAGATGACGGTGACCGAGCCCCAGCGTCTCCAGTCTGTAGTACCCATCTTATCAGAGCCAACCAACACAAAAATAGCGTGCAGGACAGCCAGTAGAGCAAAGGTCCGTCCAACCCATCGGTGAAGCAGGATGAATGTAGAGCGTGACCAGTTAGATAGCCACAAGAGGAGGTTGTTCCTGGACGGGAAAAGGATGATCAGTGGGAGCAAGGCGAATGCGAGTGCTCCAGTGCGGTAGACGAGATAAGCGAGTAGTTCCCGCCGTTCCCCCACGAATCTGGCATGTGGCTGACGGAGCTCATAGCCGATAGCGGTAAAGACAACGACGAGAGCAAAGAATAAGGCGATATATAGACCTTGACCAACAGAGGGAGCATTTCCAAGTTTGAATGGTAGAGGGCGTACGGAATAGGTACCGATCATGCTTGGATAGAGGATGTATGGTTTGAGTTTGTCATAGATTGATGGGATGAAAGGCAGATAACCGGACCAGGTCATTAGAATTGGTATTCCGACGGCAATGACAACAAGAATGATGCTGTGGCAATATTAGCCATGTTGCTAAGTGAGGAGTGAAGAAACATACCCGTATCGTGCTCCCATTATCATCTCATGGTTCGTCGCCCAAAGCGAGTTCCATTGACTACGATACGCAACCGGCGCGAGTGTCGATGTCTGGTTGAGAACCTTGTCTGTCACGTTGAGTTGATATCGCGGTGGTTTAGGATCAACCTCCATGAGAGCCTCTGAGTAGGACCACTTTGCGGGAACGAATTTGCTCCCTGTGATCCACTCCTCCCAGTAACCCTCGATCTTTGACAACTTTTCATCGCCGCAGTTGTCGCTCATACACCAAGCAACAGATGTCAAGAAAGAAGTGTCGTTCGCTCGACATGCCGGCGGAGTCGCCATGTGTCCATCGTGCATGCTTGAACAGGGTAACATCAGAGGAGTAAAGGATCGAAGACATGCTTCAGCGCAGACAGGATCGTATGAAGTCAATCCATAGCCCTCAAGTCCCTGAGCGTATGTCGAACTGACTTGAAGTGCCAACAGTAGTGAGAGGGAGTTTAGCAATGTCATACTGCCACCTGCCCCTTGGCGGTTCATCGTAGGATGTTCAAAGTGGATATAGAAAATGATGGCGGATTACGCTAAGATGAGATCATCCAGTGATCATTTATAGAATAGAATAGCAGTGATATAACTTTGAGTTTGTGTTATGGACAGGCCAGCGGATGACACCTGCTTTATACAGCGACGTGCAGTCATCGAGCCCAACCAACCTGGCGGGCCCAGGCCTCGACCAGGATATCGAGGCAACACCAACACAAAAATCCCATCACTGCGTTACTACCCATACGCCCAATGCTTCAGTTGCATCATCCCGCTTCGACTCCGGCCATCGTGATTCATCCCATCAATCCCCACGGGGAAACTCTATTTCCTCACTCCAGAACCTCTATCAAGATCTACCTTTCTCCGCCTGCTTCCGGGTCCTGTTTCGGTCATCGGCCCATGGCAGGCCCGAATACCCGTCTAGCCGCATGCTCCGTTCGCTGAGTACCTCGATAAACATCTCTTGGCAGGTCATGCGGAGGCCTTGTGGTGAAATTGCGTGCCAGATCAGCGTTGCAGTGCAGTTGGCCCTGTTCGTGGTGGGAGCCGAGATTCTTAGATACCTGGAAGGACGGGAACGTATGCCGCCTTTTGGGATTTTGAAGAGTCAGTTGGCTTCTTCTATCGTCTCAAAATTACACTCCGTCGACGATTCTCGATCTTGATTATCTTGCTGCAACTGAGTGTTTGTTGGCTTCCAAGACATCTTATCGCCGATCAAGAAATTCGGAAGATCACATTCCGAAAAAGCAATATCTCACTTGATAAACACCTATTAGATAACTCGGAAGACCTAATTCGGACCCTATTATATTACGACCCGAATATTGACGTCGGTCATTTAGCCGGGCCTATACTCGGCGGATTTTATTGATCTTGATCAGATAACCAACCCTATCAGTGAACTCGGCGATTTGTTTCTAAGCTTACGCGTTTTGAGTGAAATCTGGATTTCAAGGTCGTTGGCATCGTTCGATGTCTTATAGTTACTCATTCGATTCAAAACGTCATTGACGACCCTCGGAGGAAGACATTCCGCGTCCTATGGGATCTGGTGAAACTCGAGGTACTTTACCGAAATTTGCTTAGTAAATGTTTCATAAACAATGCTAAAGAGCTGTGCCTCTTTGCTATTCATGCGGGAAAAACTTTAATCAGAGGAACTGCCGTAAACGTACCAAGTTTTTCGCTTATAACGGCTTTTGCGTCGCTACTATTGACATTTTGGGAAGCTAGCAATTGCGAAAATGGGGCTTGATAAGGTGAATGGTATGGACAAAGAGTCATTTGGCTTGTTCAGGAAGGTTTACCAGGAGTGGTGTAGCATTTAACCAGTGTAAGGTTACAGCGCACGAGGTATTTACTGAAATAGTGAGGGCAATCCTGTCTCAAGATGCAAGATATCTCGGTACTTGTGCCGTGTAGCCGATCGCCATATTTAAAAGCATCGGAACTCTGCAAACCATCCTATCTGGCGTGGATCAAGTGCCTGTCCATAACTTTCCAAGATTTATTTGTTCTTGCTCAGCCTTATATATGACGGTTCTTGGAACAACGACTAGATGCTGCGGGATTGGAAGTTGGAAGCTAAGGATCCTGGGTGGCCGTTTTCCCGCAACCTTCCGTCAAGATGACGAATAATTGGAACCATCCCAAGATCCTGGAGGCTCTATTAGACCCTGGGCAAAAATAGAACCGTCTTCCCACTTCCATTGTTGACAAAGGGATATGCTCTGAGAAAATTCAAGCACGAGGTTCCACATTTTGATAAGAGACAGGAAAACCCCAAGTGAGCGAACGCTGTGACATATAAGCTTGAATCTTAAGCCTGTTTCCACTAACGTGGTACACCCTCGCTCGAGAACACTGAAAAATACTAGAGGTACAGTAATGAGGAGAGTATCTCCATGTGATAGATGGTCAGATTCCCTTGGTGTTCCTCCCGTGATATTCTGCAGCCACATTTCAACCCAAGGGTCAGAAAACTAATTTTGAGATTCTGCAGTAATGGCTTATTATGTAGGCGCGTGTGATAAATTCTGTTGCTCTAGCTAACCTTGAGCTATGAGATTTCTAAGGAAGCTGAGTACAGCTTTCTTTCCATCAAAGTTCTGGAATTTATCAAGTATGTGAAGTAATTGACAAGCCGGTCGAGTTGGTATCAAGGAGGACCCTTGCCAATTGCGATAGTTGAATACTTCATCTACCAGTCTTAATCATGGAGGCATTTCAGACAGTCATTCGGATAATCCCTACGTAAGAGCAAGTCGTTGGGATCTCTGGGCCTGTAACTAGATCTATATGCGATACCGTTACTAATACAGCCTCGACCGTTCATTATCGGCTGCCATCTGATAACCGCTTCATATCCCCCACGTGGCTCATGGTCTTTAGACCTGCCTCTTTCGGCGATCATGGTCTAATTCCCGGCATTATTTACGGTGATCTGATAGTAGTTCCGCGCAGCACTGCTGCAAGATAGACCGAGATACAGACGCATCGCCGATGCCAAGGCGGACTCTCCTGTTGCAGGCACTGTTGTACGTCAAAAGAACCTCGCATGGTGACTCGAACTTGTTATTCTATGGGCCATTGACAGGTCAACTTGCAGCGTCGCATTCTGCCAACATGCTGGTCCACTCACCCCACGAAACAACAAAAGATCCCAGGACAAGCAGTGCTGAGCACTGAAACTTGGTCTCAACAAACCGCTGGTGACGATTAATAAACTTTGAATCCGACTCATCCGATGTATCGCCTCAAAATGATGGGTTATGCATCAAGGATTCATCTCAAATAGATAGATATGTGATCCGTGAGGAATGCTCTCATTAGACGAACAGGGTTGTTAGTGGAGTTCGTCTGAAACCCCAATCTTCAGCCGCAGTCCTTCATCTGCTTGCATTCTCCAATCCTGGCACGAGCCAACCAGCAGTATTCTCAAGCGAGAGGAATGTGGAATGACGAATGTCCCATTTGTCCAGAATCAAGGTCGAGGATCGACCGTTTCATATGCCAAAACGAAACGACCCATCAGTCGGACCGGCAAATCAGGTTCGTGATTGTTCTCCATTGCGGAAATATGGTTGATAGATCGATACTGGATGGGGAGATCGGGCGGATGTATTCCGTTGTTATCAGACCATATGCGCAGGTATGTGAATGGAGTATAATCCTTGCGAACCTTGATTGAAGACATATATATCCAAGACATTCGACGGCATAATGTCTCTTCTTTGGCTCTACAAGTGCAGTCAAATAGAGGTTTACTTCATTTGAACAGAAGTACCTACCTGAATGATGCATCTTAACGCGGTATTGCCATTCTTTCTCGCCGTAGCAGAAGCCTGGACTCCACAATCCAGAGGTTAGTGAAGCAGCGTCATCATGAAGGTGCACATACTGACTCTGTGTAGCTATTGCAAAGGCCAACGGCGAGAAAATAGCTGAGCGATGGCTCCCAAACGATGATAAAATCCGCGGCGTCAATCTCGGTTCACAATTCATCATCGAACGATGGATGGCTGAAGAATCATGGAAGAACATGGGCTGCAGTGCCTACAACGACGAGTGGGCATGCGTAAAAGGCATCGGCCAAGAAAAGGCCAACGCTGCTTTCAAGAAACATTGGGAGACTTGGATCACAGAGGATGACATCAAGCAGATCGCAAGTATCGGTCTCAATGCCGTTCGTATTCCTGTTGGCTACTGGATGTACGAGGACATCATCCAGAAAGGCGAATACTGGCCTCGCGGCGGCATCTGGCATCTTGACCGAATTGTGGGGTGGTGTAAGAAGCATGGTATCTACGCGGTTATTGGACTTCATTCTGCTCCTGGTATCAGCTCACCGAACGAGCAGTTCACCGGCCATGTAAGCGACTATCTCACCTCACCAAGTATGTACTAATCAAGTTGCAGTCCATCCCCAATCCTGGATTCTATACTGCCGAGAACTACGAACGAGCGTTCAAGTTCCTTGAGTGGATGACCAAGCGCATCCATACGAACGGGAACTACACTACCGTCGGCATGCTCGAGGTTCTGAATGAGCCCGTCCGTGCTGGAAAGTGGAAGGCCGAGGCGGATGACATGATCAAGAACTACTATCCTGGTGCATATAAGCGCATACAGGCTATGGAGGGTTATCTCAAGGTTCCCAAAGCCGATCGCCTCCACATTCAATACATGGTAAGTTACATAATTGGGGACAGTTATCATGTATCTCGCGCTGACTCCATCGCAGGGCAAAAGTTGGGGCGCAGGCGACCCAAGACAATACCTCCCAGACGACGACCTCATCTTCTTCGATGCCCACCGCTATCTATCCTTCGACAACAGAATCGCCGGCAACAAGAAAGCATATATAGAAACCGCCTGCAAAGACAACATGGGCCAGCACGTCTTCGTCGGTGAATGGTCCCTGTCCGTGAACTCAACTCTCAAGAACACCGATGAGTTCAAGATCGAGGGCCAAGAGACATGGTACAAAGCTTATTGGGCCGCTCAAGCTGAGTCCTTTGAGAAGGGCGATGGATGGTTTTTCTGGTCCTGGAAGTGTGATGGAGAGCTTGGCAAGAAAGATTGGCGATGGTGCTATCAAGCTGCCGTTGCTGCCGGTGTTATTCCCAAGGATGCTGGCAAGGCCAAGAGTTTGAGCCCTTGCGCCAGGTATACTAAATAAGCGGATATTATCTTTGGGGGCTGGCTCCGTTCTTCTGTTCTGTATATAGTTTGAGCCTACTCGGCTTTTGACGCCGAGCGAGCATAGCAATAGTGGCTTTGAGTATCAGAAGTCTAGCCAATTGTTCCACTGCCGAAGCCATTGACCTATCATTTCTTTCTGATGGCGCCAAAGCTAGCGGATTAATTGATGTCCGCTTCCCGCTAGGCCTAGTGGTGAATCATAGGCGTTTCAGCTCGGACATGTTGCATCGTGAAACGCTGTATGTCGAGAGAATATCGGTGTAAATAACAGATTCAATCGCCTCCCCCTAATCCAAATTTCTTTTCTCATCGATGCCCAACTTGTTGTTTCTCTGGTAAAGTCTCTAGATAGCTTTTTGTTCTCTTATATCAACGCCATGGCCGATCGCTACGTCACCATTCACGAGTCGCCCAATGGACCAGGAGACTCTCGCCCAACAGCGATCCAGATTATCAAGGATGAAGGCCTAGAAGGAAAACTGAGCGACCAGATCGTTTTAATCACCGGTTGTTCCGCGGGGATCGGTATTGAGACCGCGAAAGCGCTGCATCTCACTGGCGCAACTCTATATCTCACGGCTCGAGACCTCGAAAAGGCAAAGTCAGCCCTAGGCGACCTCGCGCAAGATGAGCGTGTCCATCTTCTTGAACTTGACCTGGAATCTCTGGAGAGTGTTCGCTTGTGCGCTGCCAAGTTCTTATCCGAGAGCCCGAAACTCAACATCCTTATCTGCAACGCTGGGGTCATGTGTACACCAGAAGGACGCACGAAAGAGGGATACGAAACCCAATTTGGTACAAACCATCTGGCTCACTTCCTCTTGTTCCAATTACTCAAACCTGCTCTGGCTAAAGGTGCGACGTCTGATCGCGCATCACGAGTCGTCATGCTCAGCTCACTTGCCCATCGTTTCGGCGAAGTCAACTTCGACAACGTCAACATGGAAGGCTGCTACGATCCTAACAAAGCATACTCCCAGAGCAAAACTGCCAACCTCTGGACGGCTAATGAGATCGAGCGGAGGTACGCTATTGAGGGTATCCATGCGTGGAGTGTCCAGCCAGGCGGCGTCCTCACGGATCTCGGCAGACATTTATCTGAGGAACAAAAGAGCGGCCTCGCGGTGGATCCATATCTCAAGACAATTTGGAAGCTCCCGGACCAAGGCGCAGCAACAAGTGTCTGGGCAGCTGTCGCGGAGGCTTTGGAAGGCCAAGGCGGGAAGTATCTTGAAGACTGTCAAATCGTCGGGAAATGGGATCCTTCTACTCCGCTTTATGCAAGAGGATATGGGGCGCATGCTTGTGATACTGAGAAAGCTGCCAGACTGTGGGATAAGTCTCTGGAGTGGGTAGGTTTGTAGACTAGGTAGTGGACGAGCGTCGATGAACCTTCAAGAAAAGACTACAACTGTGTGTTTAAGTACTATCGTGTTCACAAGGTGCCATGCATCAGAACTGGGGCCGTTCAGCAGACCGGATTCGAAGGCTACTTAACATCTTGGTGATAGATATTGATCACACAAAAGGCATCTCAGACTGCGAATTTCTGCCTGGTTTCTTCTAAAGTCCTGCCTGACTGCCGAGGATGCGACTGATGTTTCCGTATTTAGATTCGCTCCTCCTGATTTCTAAAGCGCTCTCACCTTTTTCGTCATAGAAGTCAGGCAGCTTTGCAGGCAAGAAGCACCCCTCGTGGAGCTTGAGGTGTCAAAATAAATTCAACAAAAGGTATCCTAAACTTACCTTGCCTTATGATAAGTTTTGCCCAAAGCATCAAAGTTACCAAAAGCGTTAGTCCAGATATCATCTCATCACTCTGATACGTCTCCGAAAATCATCGACGCAAAGCATCCTTCCAGTCCGACCAGCTCCACAGCAAGCCACTCAAACGACAATGGGGAGCTGGAACCAACTGCCACAAGAAATTCGGCGCTCCATTCTCGACTCCCTCTATCAGCAATACCGTCACAAACACATCTATGCGGCCGTCTGCAACGAATGGCGGACATTCATGGAAGAGAGAACCTTCCGCACCCTCAGAATCACCCAGCTTCGTCTCATGGGGTTGGAGGATCCGCATCTCTACTCCTTAGTGGGGAGTTTGCATCACATGAGGTTGTTGTATCCGCTTCTCATGGGGTTGAAGGATCTGAGCCCGCGGCCACGAGCTGCGGTACAGCATCTTTGGCTCAATATTGATCTCCCGGACCCCCCTTGCGATCGATGTCTCGGCGGTCCCGTCCCGTTACTCCTCAACGCAAGATTCCCACACGCAGCATGTTACTTCTACCGACTCTTCAAAATCCTAAGCTCTTGGAACTGTACTGAGAGAGGTTTGACGCTAGAGTTCAACGCTTGCTGCTTCCTAGAACATGTCCACTGGCTCAAGAATTGGTTTATCGGCTGCCCTGGAGAATCGCTTCGGATACCGACGCTCACCGTCGATCCAAGACATCGCTTTGCACAATCAATATGGGCTTCTATTGCGCGAGCAATGGATTCCTGTTTTGAACCAATAGCTCTCGCCTACCCCCTGAACTTACCCCTGGCCGTCGCAGTCACCAAGTTCGTTATCCGTCGTTACTGTCGAAATCGGTTCCGGCCTTCAGACATTGCCAGACTGGTCAACGCTTGTCCCAGACTACTGCATCTTCATCTCGAGACGTGGGTGCCCAGCAATGCCAGTGACATCACATCCCAAAACCCGACGACCGGCCTTGCACAATGTCAGTTCTTCCGATTCCTTGAATGAGCTTTTGATACTGAAGGGACTGTAGATGACTTGATCGCGAATATACACCCAAGCACACTGCGAACATTAACGGTATTTCAAGATTCATGCAATGAATACTTGGAACTTGCTGCGCGACTTTATGGCACCCACCGTGATTATGTCGACTGTCGGCTTTGGGAGAGCGAAAACACTAAACAGTTCGCCGCGAGGAGCCTTAACCTCGAGGTGTTATCGGTTTCCTTCCTGACTTCAGCGGAAGATTTCTTCTCACATTGTCAATCAGAATCAGATTGGAGGTGGAAAAACCTTCAAACTATTATCCTTACGACCAGGCACTTCAATTGCGATATCAAATCAGAAAGGGTCTCGGCCTTGCTTCAGGACGCTGCACAGGTTGCGCTGCGTATGCCGCGTCTAGAAACCATGGTGTTGTGGAATGCAAACAGGATGCAGCATGCCACCTCGTTCACCTACCGCCGAACAAAATTGTCTGCCACAATTGCTTGGTGTAGCACTATGGATTTGGACTTCGACCGCCACACGTTACAGGCTTGGGAAGAGGTTGCAAGGAAGCAGGGGCACCCTTACCCTTACTTATGGTCAGAAAAGAGACGGATTCAGCCGCTAATCATATCTCACGGCCACGCCATTCGAATCTTGGAATTACCCCCCCAAGTCATTGATCCAGAGTCCCGACAGCAGATTGAGAAAGAGTACGAGGTTCCCAAAATCCCCTTTATCCACCAGTTCCCTTATTAGCCCAGTCTAAGTTTAGCATGACTTCAGTATAGATTAGTATAAATTTAGGATGCCTTTTGCTAAGTTTTTTTCCATCTCTTATGTCAAGGTCGCGCGGTCAGTGCCTTTTAAGCTTAAATCCCCCGCATATCAGTCGACAGCGTTCCCGATATCGTGCAAGAGCCGACAGGATCGGATACATACGAACGCATTACTGGTGGAGTATGGCATCATCATGCTCGGTTTTCCGGGTTTAGAAATAGGCCCGACATTGGTTGCCAAGTCATTGGCTTGCGAGCGATGATCACTTTATGATAATGGCCAAGGGCTGGTTGAGGATATGGGTTCAATGGGTTGGTGATCAATAGAGAGGGATGTGATTCGCCAGTTTAATCGACGTTATACCAGGTCCAGAGGGGTACGGTTGACATCAGGGAATGTCGGTGATTCTCGGGGAGCAAGAGAATATCAGATATATAAACATGATCTGCTTCCTCTTTTGTTCTTACTTTGCTCTCTTACACCTCCGTCACCATGAAGGTCCTGTCAAACCTCGGGACGCTTCTAGCGCTGTCGCCTGTTGCGCAGGCTACAGGAGGACATTACAACACCGTTAAGCTTGACGGCTACGGCAGTTTCTCCGGTACTACTGTCAACAGTACTTTCACCAAGCACAAGCTCCCTGCGCCTGTTGATGCTTGGCTGGGTATTGACTACGCTACTCAACCTACTGGCGATCATCGCTTTTATCCGGTTTCTTGGCCTGACAAGTTCAAGGGCGTTAAGAAGGCTGATAGCTTTGGCAAAGCTTGTGTCCAAGAAGTTTCATCCAGAGTCCCTCTCGACTCGCAAAGCGAGGCATGTCTCAACTTCAACGTGTTTCGACCCAAGGGCGTCCCGTTGAGCAAGAAACTCCCGGTTCTTGTGTGGATTCACGGCGGTGCTTTTTACGCTGGCAGCTGGGCTAGTTTCGACGCCGCTGCATTCGCCGCCTCATTCAAGGTTCCTATCGTGGTAGTCAACTTTCACTACCGAGTCAACTCTCTCGGCTTTCTACCATCCAAGCTCTTCCAAGATGAGGGTCTGGCAAATCTAGGCATACGAGATCAGCGCTTTTTCCTGGAGTTTGTACAGAAGCACATTGGTGCCTTTGGCGGTGATAAGGATGCTGTTACTATTGGTGGTCGCTCTGCTGGTGGCCATTCAGTGGGCATTCATTACTTTCACAACTATGGCAAGGATAATAAGCAGCTGTTTGCTCGAGCGATTCATCAGTCTGGCTCGGTCACTTCACGGGCTTTTGCGAATGACACTTATCCTCTGTATAAGCGACAGTATGACGAGTACATTACGTACCTGGGTTGCGACGCGGAGAAGGGAAACAAAGCAACGCTCAAGTGCCTAAAGGGAGCAGATATAAACGCTATCAGAAACATCAGCACCAAACTGTATCACGACTATGATCCTCAATTAACTTGGCCTTTCCAGCCTGTTCATGGCGGGCCTCTGTTTGAGAAACCTGGCTCTCAATCTGGTTACGACGGAACATTTTTCCACGTCCCGACCATCACATCCACAGTCACCGACGAAGCCAAGTATTACACCCCTGGCGACCTCAAGACCAACAAAGAGTTCCTGGATTATCTCCACAACATATCACCAGCCTTGACCAAGAAAGACTTGAAGGAGTTATCTGCTCTTTACCCCGATCCCGCAAAGTACAAAGACTCACCATTCGCCAACTCCCCCAACAGCACTCAATACAACCGCGTTTCCGCTGCCTGGAGCGACTATGCCTACATCTGCCCCGGCCAAGAGACCGCATACCGCGTCTCCACCGCCGGAGTACCAACCTGGAAAGTCCGCTTCAACACCAACAACAGCTTCCCCGCGTGGCAAGGCATTCCTCACACCGCTGACACGGCATTTACCTGGGATGAGCCTACTACTCAGTATCCGGAGATGAGCCATATCTATCATGGGTACTTGGCTAGTTTTGTTGCGACGGGGGATCCTAATACATATAGATATCCTGGAAGTCCAAAGTGGCCTACTTATAACGGGCGGGAGAGATCACCGAAGCAGATTGTTGTGCAGCCGGGGGACACGAAGGTTGAGAAGGATATTATTCGAAAGGAAGCTTGTCTTTGGTGGAGAGATCCTGAGAGGGCGCCTAGACTGAACAAGTAGGTGACAAGCACCACGGGATCGAGGCCATTCTGCTTCTTGATATAGCACAAAGTATCGCGATCGATGATCAAGACTCAATGAGACTATGAATATTCTATCAATGCTTCCGTATTTCTATAAGGCTTTTCTCTAAAAGTATTCTATCCCCACAACCCCCAGCCACCCGTCTATGCTTTTGTAGCCTCCAAATATCTCTGACTGAAAGCATAGTCATTATATCCCTTGTCAGTCTTGGGAGCATAAAAAGTATCCCTCTGATAAGGTGTCAGAGCAACACCATACTTAAGCCGGAATACCAAGTCAGGGTTCGATATGAACCATCGCCCAAAAGCCACAACAACATCCCACTTCTTGTAACTCACATCAACGGCATCATAAACATTATCGGGGATATATCCACCTCCTACAATCACAGGGGACTGATTATCCCACATCTCAAGAAAGTACTCAAGACTTTGCTTCCTCTCCCCAAAGGGACTAACCTTGTCTGAACCAAGATCTTTGGGTGTAGCATCGAGAATAGCTGGGTTTCCTCTGGGTTCGACGAGTGAGACGTAAGCGAGCTTGTAGCCAGCCTTCTTGAGCTCGTTGAAGATGTAGCCGAATTGATCCCAAGGATTGGCGGTGAATGCAGCCTGGAAGGTTGCAAAGGGACTAAGACGAAGGGCAGTTCGCTCTTGGCCGATTTCTCCGACAACGGCTTTGATGACTTCGAGGAGGAAGCGGGCACGGTTCTGAACGGAGCCTCCCCACTTGTCAGTTCTGTTATTGATGCTTTCGCTGATAAATTGGTCGATCAAGTATCTGCAGCAGCCATTGTCAGTAACCGGATTAATTGAGCAAGGAATGACAGTCTTACCCATGAGCACCGTGAATCTCAACACCATCACCACCAGCATCAACAACATTCCTCGCAGCCTGTCTGAACTCCCCAATCTTGTGCCAAATCTCCTCTTCCGTCAAAGCCTCAGGCTTCACACTCTTCCCCTCCATCTGAACCGCACTGCTCGACGAGTACTTATACCCTCTCTTCTTCAAATAATCCGGATCACCCGCCCTTCCCAGATCCCAAATTTGCTGAAACATATAACTCCCCTTAGCATGGACAGCGTCATAGATCTTTCTCCAGCCCTCGATTTGCTCTGGGGAGGTGATGCCTGGTAGGTTGGCGGCTGCTTCGCCTGTTTTGGAAATGCCGGTTGCTTCGCTGATGACGAGGGTTCCGGGGGTTGAGGCGCGGTCGGCGTAGTATTTTATCATGAGGTCAAGGGGGAGATGGTCATCGTCGTTGCGGAAGCGGGTTAGAGGGGCGAGGGCGACGCGATGGGAGAGGGTGGTGTTGCCTAGCTTGAGGGGCTGCCAGAGTTTTGATTCGGTTGACATGATGGATACTGATTAGGGTGAATAGTTGGAGAATTGCAGAGGGATGAACGCTTTAGCTAGGATGTTGCGGAATGTGTACGATTGTATTGTGATGATGGGCTCCAAAACTCAAAGGAATCTTGTCTTTAAATACATTTTAATGATACATAATAATGTTTCATCGTCCTGTAGATTATCAAGCGAAGCTGGTACGAAGTAGCATTCGGAGTAACAGTCAGTCAGGATGATTAAAAACTCAAATGCCCATACGAAACTGCACAATGTGGATCCAAGCACCAATCCTGGAGCAAATCCCGACATAATTCCACGTAAAATTGGACTACGAATGCTTGATAATCAGGGCCATTGCAAGTATTTTTGGGGGTAAGAAATCGGAGAATTACTCCAAGGCCCCGACGTCATCTTCCTTTCGAGCGCTGACCCTACGAGCCGGCCAATCAATGTTCAGAGTCGTCGTTACATGCTTTGAAATCCCCAAATGTTCTTCATGGTGATTGGCTAGACGGTCAAAGTTCAACCGAAAGACCTGCTAAGCCCTACGAGCATTAATAATGCTATCTTAGCATTAGCATAAGAGGCCAAGAACAAGGATTCTGATGCACAATCTTGCGATTGACAACTATGTAACTGTGTACTCAATTTCCCCAAGTCCATCTCCATCCCATATCCTCCTCCCCACTCAAGCCCTATCCTTATGGTAACACAAAACCCAACCAAACTCCACAGGGTTGGTGCTAATCAGCGCCGGCTTCTCATGACTAAACTCGGTGCTGCCCAGCTGAACACCATATTTATCTTTGTACCGCTGACAAACAACATCGCTGAGTTCAGGTGATTCAATATCCGGGATGTTGACGTTGAGGCTCTCGAGACGCAGCTCGGTGACTTGGTAGTCGAGAGTGGTGAGTTGCGCGAGGGGAATTCTGACGGGTTGACGGCTGTGGTCGGCCGAGTTGACGATCATGATGACCGCGTTGGCTGTGGGCGCTTGGCGAGTGGTGGGCTGAGATGTCGCTGTTGAGGCGAGCGCGATGGCGCTGGTGAGGAGGGTTGTGAAATGCATGGTGATGACTGATGTTGAAGTTCTGATGCTTGAGAGATGTGAATGCACTGATATCAAGTTCGAGGTTCAAAGACAATACTTTTATAGCTTTGCCGATTCTCTTATTGACATACGTCAACCCTCTAATAATAGCATCGCGCCTCAATTCCCCAAGTCCCGTCTCGGCCCCCATGTCGTGTGATGCACATGTCAGCACTTGTACAATTTACGAGCCTTCTTGTCCCTGTCCTACGGATGTCGATCACTTTATTTATTTTTTCTCCGCGACCACTCAGAGGCCAGTATCTGAGACAAGTCAGCTGTCGAATTCTGTCTTGGACATAAATCACGTTATGGTTGGGCGGAGAGACAATCTGGAGATTAATGCCATCTCGTATTCATTTACAGATGATATGATATTTTAGGAGTTGTGATTTGCACATGTCATATAGAGCGCTGCATATGACTAGATGTGGTGAGAGAGAGGAGAGAATTTCGGTAATGTCCTAGTTGGGCTATGGTGATTCGTATGGAGGCTTGGTTGTACAACATGTGTACTTGGCGTTTGATCCTTACAGTAGCGGGCTGCCTCTGAGATTCTAAAACTGATCTGCGAAAAGCACTGTCAGCACATCATGCGTCTGCCTCCAGCTCTCAGTCCATCTCTTGCGCTGACGCCAAGATCCAATCAGTGCTCACAGAAGTTGTAATCAATCGACTCCCAGAGAGCCCTCGTCTTCTCCGCAGTCCTCTCATCCAACAGCTTAAGCCGATGCGCCCGCGCTTCCTCAACATTCATAAGGCCCTTAGGCACTTCACCACTTCCAGTCCACCGATCCTTTTGCTGAGGCGGTACATTCGCCGTTGAAAGGATTCGGCGGTGCGGGTCAGCCAGCCAAAGATCGATGAAGTGTCGATGTCCCGGCTTTGTCGGATCGTGCAGCTTGAAAGAGGATATGCCATGTTGACTGGACGGATGTTACTAAGGATAGGGCTGTTTGGGGCAAGGCACTTACAAGACGTTGGGAAAAGCGAGGAGATGACCCTCTGGCGTGTCGACGTCTCCATAGTTTTGAGTACAAGATCTAGCGAGTCCGCCTATGCATTCCACGATCTGTGCCATACATTCTCTCAAAGTATCCTGGCCAGTCTTGATCTCATCATTTAGATACGAGCTCGTCTGTATGCGGAACGATGAACGGCTTGGCGTTACGTTCTCACTGTCGAATTAGTACAGTAAAGTGGCGGTAATCTTCTCATCCATCTGGCCTTCGAGCGGAAAAACTGTTTGTATGCTAATCTTGGTGTTAGTAGTACTGAGGGTCGACTTACATGACAACTTCCAGCGGAGAATTCAGGCTTCTCGGGTGTGAGTTCAATGCTCGCCATCTTGGCCATGATTTTCAGACCGTTCTTCTTCAACGTTTCCCGCAGGCTCTGCTTTGGCGCGTAGTTAACTTCATCAAAGGGTTTTGGGTCACGGAGGGAAAGGTGCGGCCAAGACGCCTGTTAGATTATCTATCAAATAGCATAAATGGACAATCATTCTCTTAGGTAAGTCTCGGATGGTAGTCGCAATCAGAAAGCGCGTCTTGACTTTTGTGATAGTAAGTGTGCTGTGATGTGATGTGAAGACCCAAGAATGACAGCTGCGTATCATTTGCCACTGCTTTCGAGGTGAAAGCAGCCACATGCGATCAATTACGAAACACATGCCGAGTGCGACGATATCCAAATATTATCCTGATATCGATTGAGTCAGACGGTCAAAATTATGCTAATTCCTTAAGGTCTTTCGGGTAGCCCAATTTGTCATGACGGGGCTTCGCATTGATTGGCTCAAACCTACACGTAATCAGACTAAATCCGATTTCCGATTCCGACTCCGATTTTGTTTGGCTTACTCCGTCCAAATCGTTCAGTCTCAATTCTCGGACATCACCAATTCATCCTCTCATACTCATCCAACGATGGAGCAACTAAGTCCGAGCAGTTCTAGCTCCCCAAATCGCAGCCACGCCCAGAAGCGCCGCCCCAGAAAACCCTTGAACTGCGATCCCTGCAGACACTCCAAGCTGAAATGCGACCGGGGACTGCCGTGCGCGACATGCCTCAAACGAGGCTGGCAGGACTCTTGCGCTTATGGCTCAAACTTTACTGGACCGCAGAAGCGAAGGAGGACTAGGCTTGAGCTTGTGGAGCCGGTGCCTCAGCCGCAAATACAGGCTCAATCTGTGGAGGTACCAGAGACAGTGTCATCTCCGAGTTCGACGCCCGAGCCGATACAGCAGCGATGGGATCATATTCTGCGTCGACCATCTGTTGAGAGGGGTGTTATACCAGACTCGCCGAATCCAACGGTAACTCTGTCCTTTGGGCCTTGCGTTCCAATCTCTGAACTCCTTGCGCTTTTACCACCAACTTCTGTGACTGAGTACTTGGTTTGCCGCTATTTCGGAACTCTCTCATCACTGTTCCATATTCTCCATGGCCCGACATTCCAGACGCAGTATCTAGACTTTCTAGAAGCGCCAGAGAAGACTAGCCTGTCATGGCTAGCTGTTCTCTTCGCTATCATCTCGTTGACTCTCAAGACCATCGAACCAACTGATGCTGGCCTCGTCGTGTTATGGCAGGACACCACCATCCCTCGCGACTTGTCAGTGCTGTCACAGAAATATAGAGATGCGGCAATGACGGCCCTTTCGCAGGATCAGTTCTTGGTCCGCCATGATCTGAGCACGCTCGAGGCTCTTCTCATCCTGGTTCATATGATATCTCATAACGAAGGGCCAGAATACGGCTGGGCACTTCTCGGCAGTGCACTCAACATCGCCATTGCTCTGCGTTGCCACACAGATATAGAGGGGCCCAACTGCATTGAGCAAGAGCGCCGTCGCCGTTGCTGGGCAGGCATCCTGATCATCCATACCTACCAAGCTCTCTGCTTCAGAGACATCGATCTCACGTTCCTGTTGAACATGAAAGCAACAATGCCGGCATGGGTCAACGACAAAGATATCCGGCAAAACAGTATAAAGCAATCACCTAAGGATTCACCCTGCGAGTTTACCGACACATCACTGCTGAAATTCCAAGTTCGGCTATTCCAGCTTTCGACGCAGATTTGCTCTCATATTTCGGGCGATGACAAACTCAACACAACGATTCTACACCAGTATGATACAGCTGTGGCGAAAGAGCAACTACAATGGGATGCCGCATATCTCGTAAACGGTCGCCGGAGTATTCTCAACACATCAGGCTATGCGCATTGGTGCATGCTCCAAACCTACGCTCATCAACTCTACCTCCTTCTCCATCGACCTTTTCACAGCTCCAAAGCAAGTCACTTCCGCGCCGAGTCAAGGGACAAGTGTATCAAGTCAGGTCTTGCCTTGCTAGATGTCCATCACCAATTCTACGAACTACCGCGACTAAAGTGCTACCGCTGGCTCGTCAAGGGCGCTATCAGCTGTAATGCACTTCACGGAGCTGTGGCGTTGACTTCATGCATGCTGGACATGCCCGACGACTCTGATCTGACGGAACATATATCTGCCGTTGATGCTGCAATATCGAGAATGGAAGCACTAAAGATGAAAAGTCCAGCTTGTTCCAGTGTTTATCGCGTCATTCGTTGTCTTCAGTATGTCCTTTTGGGTTGTCTGACAACGGAATTGGTGGCTGACCTAGGTAGATCTTATCTCTCGAAGCGAGACCCTGCACCGACTTTTTTGCCGGAAGATGTTGAGCTGAGGTTCGAGGACTGGGCTACCAATGTTGACTGGTTCAGACCCGATGGGATTGACTGGGTAAGTGATGATGGCCTCTAGCTTTTAGAAGGTACCGCTAACTGGTCTAGGAACTTTGGGACTCGGCTTACATCACTCCACAAACTGATGATGCAGCTACTCTGATGACTTGACAACTTGATATTAATGAATTTTGGTATCGAAGGTAGAACAGGCGCTGACCCGTATCCATGGTATAATCTAAAAACTACATGCATTCAATAAAGCCCCTCCCATCTGGCGACTATCCCGTCATGTTTCACTATATGCTGGAGGAGGAACCTCATAATCCTCCACCACAAAGTCCCCCTTGCAGTATTTCGGCGGAACGCTGATGCCCTCTGCCAGAAGGCTCTTGACCTCCTTTGCAGCAATAACATGATCCCTCACGAAAACACCCCAGCCATTCACGGGCAGCTCCGGCGAGATGAAGAGATGTATAGGCATCGAGATGTCCTCCTCCGTCGTGACACCATTATTGACAAACGTAACCTCAAAATGCAGCGAGTGCGTGATGGAAACTCCGCAAACTGAGAAGTCAGGCGAACAATTCCTCACTGCGATTGGGAGGTGTAAGCATTGCTGCCATCGCTGTTGAGGCTCGTCGCTCAACTCCAGGGGCCACTCCGTCACTATCCGCTGTCCCTCATACCCCGGACTCCCTACATCAGACTCGTTCTCCACGTCGTGCTTTTCTCGCAAGAAAAACCTCGCTTTTGTGATCTTGGCAGTCGGTCTCAGCGGCGCAAGGTGTGCTTCGATGGATATCAGTCCTCCCAGGGCAATCGCTCGATGTCGAATGGAAACGTTGTACTCCGCCTTCCCCGACCATTTCCCCTGCACAGTCGTCGGATCCATGAGCTCGTATGATGAGAATCCCGGCGTGCGAATAATTCGAAGCGGCGAAAAGGTCTTGAAGCTGTCCGATGAATTCTCACCAACCGTCCAGGCCTCCAGTAGGTACATAATACTGCATCGCGTACAGCCCTTGAACGACTCCTCCTGATCACCTCGAATGAACAACTCAAACGGCCATTCGAAGTTCTTGCCATTCTTAAAAGGCTCTCCCATTTTATCGACGACATTGAATGACTTCCACTGATGAACAGTGCTTTCGCGCCGTTGCCATTTTACTGACTCTTCGGCAACAACCTTGTGATCTCTAAGTGTAGCCGTTAGCTCCCGCTATCAGCCCCGAATCTTCGGGATGAACCTACCCAAGCCACATTCGACTAGTCAGCTTCAGCTGAACGCTGGTGATGTTTTGTCCTTCTGGGATGAAGAGCGATAGCTTTCCACGAAGATATTGGCCTTTTGCATCTTCACCGTTTCCGCTGACGAAGACGTAATCGTAGTCCGGTCTGTGAGGTCAGTCAAAATTCATGGAATCGGGATTGAAGGATGTACCGTATTGTGAGGCGAGGGCGGTGCTGGCCTGTTATTCTGGCCATGATAGACCGCATTGACTTTTTGGTGGACATGCTGATGATTTCGAGATGATGTTGAACAGCAGAGAATAAAAGATGAAGTAAAGGCTCGGTACTTATAGACGATGCTTGCAATGTTACCAATGCCAAGTGAGTCAATGTCAACTTAGCCGTTGATCAATGTAACCAAATGTAACGGTGAGAAAGTATGGGACGGTGGCTTTTATTAACTCCCAAAACCGTCCCAGCCAAATCCGATTTCGAAGCCATTCACATGCCGTGCTTACTCTAAATCGGACATCTCATCCCCGATTAATCGGACTTTTCTATTCTTAGTCACCGTCTTAATACCGAAATAGGAAGTTTTGTGAGTGGCAATAAAATCGGACTTGTGAGCCCTACTCGGACATAGCAATCTCATCCTGCATTAGAGATTATCAGGAAAATTCCGTTGTAATTGTGATTGTAACGAGTGGCTATGTACCGTTATCCAACTTTAGTTCATCTTGGCAATGTCTGATTATGAGATCAAGCTTCGATAAAACGTCACGAAGTTTCTTGGTAGAATGGGTTTGTTTAATTTTCCTCAATCTGGAGTTTAAAATTTGGAGACAGACTTCCAACGCTTTTCACTACAGAATATAAATATCATGGCTTTTGACATTTCTTCAGTATATCTTCATCGCGGACCACGCAGCACCGTAAGCATGCTCGACATAATATCCCACGTCCCCGCGCACTTGACCAAAGCGCTTTACATCCCAAAACATGACGACACAACTTCCCATTTCGCGATCTACGACATCTCCAAGGAATATTCCGAAAAAGTGGGCGTTCATCCCATGGGCTCGGAGAGTTACAAGGTGGAGCTATGCCTTCTTCGAAAGCCTAGCGGCTATCATGCCGGTGACAACGCTCGGTTCCTGGTAGACGTGGACGCTAGTGTTTCTATTCATGAGAGGGTTATGGGTCGAGACCCTTTGGATGCGGAGGTGTAAGTTTGATAAGATGCGGGGGACAGTTTATACTGATTAGACTGGTAGATCATCGCCGATTGATGGAGATGGGAGTGTTACGTTGCAGATACATTCGGGTAATTCCTCGTTTGAACTCACAGCACGGGAATGTTACCCTCTGCCAGAGAAGGAAACGAAGAAGAGAATCGTTCGATATCCATACATGAACATAGATGGAGACATTGCAGATTTACCTCACCGCTGTGATTGGCGAGTTCATCCAGCGGAGAAGGGACCTTTGCGCTATGAACTAGTGGATATGGAACGACAAGGCGATGACGATAGTTCGATACTAGCGATCTATCATCACCAAGGCTTTGAGAGCGAGCTGCCTACGTCTTACAGCCACGGAGTTCTCCTTCTACCAAGCGACTCTACGCCATTATTTGACATCACTGTTGTGTCAAGTCTTATGGCTCTTCTAGCTACAACTCGCAAGCAGCCGGTGGCGCGGAAGCGGTCACGATTTCGGTCTCTGATGGCGTCTTTATGAGGTTGATTGGACGGGAAGGGGACCGGATAAGAGAAGAATACCCATGACTTTAGAGAGCTCAGATTGTAGTAATCAGATAATTATCGTAAAACGAATTTATCAGTTCAACAAACTCACTTTCCCAGCCGCGAGACCACGAGATGTCTTGTCTAACAACGAACTCTCCATCTCACTCAACTTCTCCGCTAATCCAACGCGTCTGCGTGACTGAACTTCCCAATCTTCAAGCGTCTTCAGACTTCCATAGGGGCCGAAACCATAATACTTCTCCGTGGCCTCAGACCATGGTTCGCCTCCACAGATAAACTTGATCCACGCCTCGCGCATAGCCTGACCAACGCGCTCAGCACTAGGTGAGAATCTCAGATCAAAGCCTCCGAACAAGAGAACGAGGTCGACGGCATGATGAGCGCCACTCGAGGGTTGCCATGGATTTGCTTCGTCTATCAGACATCTGAGAACAGACTTACCTGCATCTTTGAAGGATTTCTCGAGAAGTTGAACTGGTAGTAGGTATTTGTAGTCGTTGATGAAGTCCAACGCCCCTGTTTTGCAGGATGAAGGTCGGTCGGGATATATATGGTACAACTTCTTGAGCTCACCACCATATTGCTCGGAAGCATCAAACGCTTTCGCTATGTAGTCTGGGTCCGTTGCCCATACACCAGCTTGGTAAATCGCTCCCTTTACACTCATCAGTACAATCAGTCCCAAAGCCATGAGTGAACTAACCTCTTTCGTCACGTCGCTGAGTAGTAATCTCTCTACACAGCCCGTCTTGGTCTGCCAAGCATTGAAGGATTCTTCCCATTCGAGGAAAAATGACTGCAGACCAGATCTTCTGACTGCTTCAACAATCTCACTTGCAGATGCAGTTTCCAGATTGAGCGTTTGATCCAGTTCCTTGGAAATCGTGTCCCGAAAGCTTGCTACCAATTGTCGAGGCTGAGGTGGCGACAGGAACAACGAGCCAGATGATAGAATGACTTGTTGCACGCGCGCGTTTGCAACAAGGTGGGCGTGACAGTAAATAGCTCCGGCGCTCTCACCCGCTAGAGTGACCATATCCTGCACATTTGTTAGCCCGTTGCTCTTCTAGTGTTAGAGTGGTTAAGTACCGGATCACCACCAAAGCCAGCGATATGTTCCTGAACCCACTGCAAAGCCAGCTCTTGATCACGAAGAGCTAAGTTCGGAGGCCCTTGTCCATTGCCAAGAGCGAAAACATTGAGTCGGTACTGGACGGACACAGCGATCATTGGCTTTCCCAGTCTGAGGGAGTCGGCTACTATTTTGCTCATGTCTGGTGGAGAATGTCAGCACACGCAGTCACTTGAGGTGATTCCATACCGCAGACTCCGGATGCAGCGCTTCCAAACGTCACGGCTTGTGAGCCTCCTGTCCCTCATTCAGCTTTTGATGATAACGGCTCGACAAGAAATCTACCATGTATCCAGACCAAGACCGGCAACTTGGTATTTCTCACGTCAGGGCCTCTGCCGGGCAATACGACATCCAAATTGGTACATCTAAACTCATCCTCCGGCTCATCTAGGAACGTATGTTCCGGAGGGATGCGTAGCAAATGCCCGACATCTACAGCAACTTGCGGACACCGAGGTCTGTTTAATTTAGTTATTTTAGCTTCAAACTGGAAGTATGAGGTCTTACCCAAAGTTGGTGCAGTCAAGAAATCTAGGATATCTCTCCAGTTTCTCGGGTGCAGCGAATCGTCGCGGGATACGACCATACGGAATGCCTCGAAATTGAATCACGTCCGGGGTCCGAAGACCCGCGAGTGTGGTATTCAGCGACTCGTGAGGAATGGTCGCTGTCATATTTTGTCTCCGTAATTAGGATTGAAGTTGTGTTGTGTAGTCTCTTTGCTCAGTGGGCGTAGATGAGCTATATCCGAGGTGCGTTTGCCGAAAGAGGGGTCTCCGGGTCATGTGGGGTCATCACCGCGACTCCATCTTGGAGCAGCAACTTACATCAGGGAGTTATTCAAGATGGCTTATTTAATAACCCAAAGTATCTTTGATAGCCTGAATCGTGAAATGGTTGTTGTGATTCAGTTGATACTCACAGATTACTTCGCAATACCCTTGGGTATGGATTCTGACAAAAACATAACCAGTCCAAAGACAAACTACAGTGATTTTCAGCTCTGTACTCGAAAAAGAAAACGCCGATGGCCTAGTCATTCTATCCGTATTCTATAGACATAACCTCGTATATAAATCCATCTAACATGTATTCCTGTCCATTCCGTCTCTGTACCTGGCCCTTTAATTAGGATACGATCTCAAAGGAAAGAATCCTTCCGGCATAGGATCAACATGCCAAAGCTTATCTGAACCCGCCCCAAACGCATCTGCCCACTCCTTTCTCAAACTCTCCGGTAGATTCCAGCCTAACTCATCATCCCGGAGCCTCATCCTGACCAAATGCCTCTTCTCGCCAACTCCATCACCGTTCTTGAAGCTATCACGCTTGTGCAAGATGAAGAGGTTATTGATGAAGTGGATATCACCGGGTTTCGTCTCAATCTCTAGCTGGGATTTTCTAGCTGCGACTTCAATGTCTTCTAAAGCTTTGAGCTGCTTCATGGAGATTCGCGGCAGATGAGCAGGGCGCGGATGGATCGCGTTGCCGATTAGTGGGACTCGACCGAAGTTGAGCATGATTCTGTTGCGGTGATAGAAGAATATCGGTCTGGGATATCCTTCTTGGCTATATGATTGTCAGTGAGGATCTTCAGAACGGACTGCAGTTATTCCTACTTTGCAAAAACCCATTTCGGCTGAGAAAGCTGACGAATAGATGCGGGGTTGTGTCGATTCAGGGTATTGTATACCTCATACCCTGAAGCGATGATGCATGTCCCGCCTGAGGCAGCAGTGCTCCTTGTCAGCCAGCTCACAACGTCTCCAGACTCCTCGTTATGGAACATCTAAGAGCTCAGTCATCAGTCATAGTCTCAGTTTATGAGTCTCACTTACGATTTCGGATGTTGAATGGCGATGATGCCGACTAGAAAGATTAGAGGAGTTGTCGGCCACGATGTGGACTGCAGCCAAATATGGTCAGCGTTCATGTATGGCATTTGGCCGATGTGTCTTACCCAGCATATTTCCCTTTTCATCTTGCCGACCTCGAAGATTGGCGATATATGACTGAATACCGAGGTACATCATCGTCAAGTCCTCAGCAGAGTAATTCAAGGGATTGAGTCCTCGAACCAGTCCGAACCCCTTCCCCTCATAAACATCAAGCCGTATAAGATCAAGCCTTATACCTACCCTTGGAAGTGGAAAGTTCTGTCGGCAGATCGAGTCACCATCCAGTCCAAGACCTGCTAAATCAGATCCTGCTTGCTCTAAGATCTGCAGGTAACTTGCCTTTGAAGTACGAAAGAGCGTTTTCCACTTCGTCGATTTCTGAAGAGTTGAGATGGTATACGTATTCGGATTCGTCGGAGAACTGATTGCCTTGCCAGGCACCGGGGAGATCGATCGACTGAGGAAAGGATCTGGTTCCGTAACACAATTCCATTGTGTTGGAAGCAGAAAGAGTCATGTTTGTTCGTAAGAATCGGAACAGGACTAAGTAACGATGAAAATAAAGACAGAGGCGCGAATTCCCAATTTATGGGATAATTTGTAGAGATTTGTAGGTCAAGGCTTCACAAGCAACGAGATGCGCTTAATATAAGGCCCGTAAAATTGCTTCTTTTCCTGTTTCTGTTTTAACACGACAGTTGAATATGCATGATAAGGCGAGCATCTCAGCGAGAGAAGAGAGGAGATGATTCATTCAAGGACGCCTCACGATCATCATGTATCTAAATCGATAGTAGTGTAGACAACCCCCTGAAGTGTCGTGCATTCCAGCCACTCCCTGAGTCCATGTTCTTGACGAGGGAAGAAAAGGACAGGTCAGAACATGGATCACGGCGCTTCATATGCAATATCGTGATGTGCTAATGGCTTTCTTTTCTTATTCCTGAACCCAGCTCTGCCGCAAAAAACTTGGCACTACGCGAATCTGATTGTGATTCTCGCATCATCTCATCCTAGGGCGTTATGCGCGTACTTGGATCCTGAGACATATCACCGCAACTTGCTGGGGTTACACAACTCAAACTAGTAAGGCTGTTGAAAGCTTGTACATCTCGGAGTCACGCCGTCTGGCGATCTGACTGGTCCGGGGAGACCGCTAGGCAAGTTCCTAGTGCAGGATGGACATAAACGTTTTGGTTACACAATGGTCGACGACAGGATGACTCTATCTCCCAAGCGATGCGAGAAAAAAAGAGATGAGACAGCATAGGAAAAGCAAACATAGAGTCTTATATGTCATAATTTATGGAGGCTTTCATGCCGGAGAAACTCCTCCGGGCTAGAAAAGATTATTCATTATTCAGTCATGGTGGCATCATAGTGGTCCGAGGGCTGAAATGGACACTTAGATGTAAGCACCACCGGAAGACTATCAATATTTGCTTATGCAGACTAACTAGCACTTTAGGCCTCGAGAGCAGGTTCTTGCTGCACATATGTGGGAGAAAGTATGACGAGTCCGTCTCGTAACCGAAGTCCAAACGCTACAGCGATGACGTTTTCTTCGTTATCACCACAACTCTCTCATCCCACCGAAACATGAATAGTAGGAGAGGCAAAGGAATAGGGTAGACTCCGATACCCTTGGGTGCATGCATACCTCGAGGTTGGCCGACGTTGGTGACAAGTACGAGTCTTGGCAGGATCGTAATCTCACGACCCCATAAATACAAGATAATCAGCCCCAATGTCTGACCACTTTTCCTTGGCCTTTCAGCTTATTTCCTCGCGTGTGAGTGCCGTGATGTCTTGGCGAGCCAGTATGCAGCCAGGTCTCAACTTTTCCACTTCGTTGGACTTCTATGTCATAGTCTACATCTCATAGGGTATGGTAGTCGGCCCGGACAATCGCCTAGATTATATGCTTAATTTCTGGTCCAGCCAGCGGATTAAGTTAGGATAATAAAGATACAAGCCTTTGACCTAATAGCTAGCTAGTATTTCTTTTTACGGCAGGCAGGTAATACAAGCGTGCTGGCTACCGCCACCTTGGATATGGGAATGTACCGCGAATGAAAAACAGGGAGAACCCGGTACGTTAGCCAGCTTGTTTACCCGGATCCTCACCGTTATACGATCTTATCTCCGTATATATCATATCTGCATCACACGTCAATGCTTTCCCTCGGATGCAACGTCGCATTCGTGTACAAGAGCCTATCTCGAAACTAAACCCACCATACTTCCAAAAGCACTTGTCGAACACGAAACCAACCATTGGACGTAAGTAATCTTTAACTCAGTGAGGCTCTTGCTCTGGTCAAAGTCAAACCTGAAACATGGACCGGAAACATTACCGATTTGCCAAGCACGGCATATCGCGCTACTCCGGATAATCGGCCTTGTACGCTCCACCTGTCAACCCAGGGGCCAGGTCCACACGCGTAATTCATACCAATCATGAAGAAAGGAATCCGCGTACGGAGTGTCGACGGTGGCATTTGGCTTAATGGGGCTTCAAGTCACCCTTCTCATTAAACTCGATGCTCGTTGGCAGTCTGGGCACCAACCGGTATTGGAGGATAATCCTGCTCCGTAAAATAAACAATGAAGAGGGTCGTTTCTGGAAACATAGACATTCGGATATAACGGGTAATGGCTTGGCTGAGCATTGAAGATTCGGGGAATATATAAGCATATAGGTAGCACGGAAGAAGAAGAATAGCACACACACAAGATCATCACATTCCTTTTGCCGGTCAAAGGTTACTCTTTCACTAAGTACATTCGTTTATTTCGTCACTCATTACATACATACTTCTCTCTCTTCAACACCTCAAAATGACCAAACTCGGCCTCGCTCTTCTCACTGCCCTGGCCGGCAGCGCCATCGCCGTCCCCGCCCCAGCAGTCACCCAAGCTCCCGACGTCCACGCCTACGCCAAACGAGCCACATCCTGCACATTCTCCGGCTCCGACGGTGCCTCCAAGGCCAGCAAGTCGCAAGCCGCGTGCGCCACCATCGTCCTCAACAACGTCGCTGTCCCCAGCGGTGAGACCCTGGACCTCAGCAAGCTCAAGGACAACACCAAGGTCATCTTCAAGGGAACTACTACCTGGGGGTACAAGGAGTGGAAGGGACCTCTGATGAAGATCTCTGGAAACAAGATCACTGTTGAGGGCTCTGGTGCTGTGCTTAACGCTGGTGGTGAGAAGTATTGGGATGGAAAGGGAGGAAACAGTGGCATTACGAAGCCCAAGTTCTTTGCGGCGCATAAGCTCACTGACTCCAAGATTAACAATCTTTATGTCAAGAACACTCCTGTTCAGGCTGTGAGCATCAACGGTGTTAATGGTCTCACTATTAACCAGTTCACTCTTGATAACAAGGATGGTGATACCAAGGGCGGTCACAACACTGATGCTTTTGACATTGGTTCTTCCACTGGTGTTACCATCACCGGCGCCAAGGTCTACAATCAAGATGATTGCGTTGCCGTCAACTCCGGAAAGGTAAGTCACTTCTGAATTCTCCAAGAACAACTCACTGACTTCAACAGAACATCATCTTCCAGAACGGCTACTGCCACGGCGGCCACGGTCTCTCCATTGGCAGTGTCGGCGGCCGCGACGACAACATCGTCGACAACGTGCAGTTCCTCAACTCCGAAGTCACCAACTCCGCCAACGGCATCCGCGTCAAGACCATGAAGAACACCTCCGGCAAGGTCAACAAGGTCACTTACTCCGACATCACCCTCTCCGGCATCACCAAATACGGCATCCTCATCGAGCAGAACTACGACGGCGGTGATCTCCACGGCGAGCCCACCAGCGATCTCCCCATCACCGGCCTCACCCTCAAGAACATCAAGGGCAAGAACGGTGTCTCTTCCAGCGGCAAGAATGCTGCTATTGTTTGTGGAAGCTCGGGATGCAAGAACTGGACTTGGCAGAATGTTCAGGTCACTGGTGGTAAGAAGTATGATAGCTGCAAGAACGTTCCTAGCGTCGCTTCTTGCTAAATCATGACTTTTTGAGTCGTGAGTCGGTTGTGTTTCATCGGCTCATTCTGCGTGTGAGCCTGGCCTTGGAAGCATCTAGAGGACTCATTAATTCCCAACCGAGGTCATCAATTTGTAGCCCGATGGCTTTTACACTTCTTGTGAATATATAATAGCATTAAACCTTCAAACAATCTATTCATCAACTCTGATACCAAGCACTTTGCATTACGGCGTCTAGTACACACGAAAGAAGAAAGACAGAAAGAGTTCAATAAGTAAGGCACAACTCCAAACCATACCCTTTAGCCGATGCTCAAGTACCCGGGGAAAATCCAACAATTTCTCTGCTGTGTCTCAACGAAGTTGATCGCTCCCTGGATCACTGCAAAATTTGTGGTGTCGACGGGAATTCTTGGGCCTTGTTGATTATAAGCCTGCCATAACAACTGCGCTCTGTGACACACTTGGAAATGTCTCAAGAACTCCTCTCGGCTATAAACCTTCTGAATCTTGTCTTCTCTCTTGGGACGGTTTGGGAGCATTCGGATACATCCTTTGCAAGCGATTCCAGACTCGGTCTTGAGGGTACGCGGATCCAGGCAAGGTACTGCGCATGTCACTAAGTAATTGAATTCGGCCAAGTCTCTCCATGAGCGTGGCTTTCCCATATAGAGCTGCTCGACTTTGCTGTGTTCCACGATGTCTCGCCTCTAGCCTTTCAAGCCGACGAAAAAATCCCTGTCCCAGTCCCGCATGCGAGCCGCTGCATCTGGAGCTAGGGACTGTGCGAAAATGTTCCATGTTACAAATCTGGAAACGCGAGTTATGGGGTCTAGGCCGAAACCACGTCGTTGGCCAGTCTCAACGCAGCGTTGGCATAGTCGTAACCACTCAGGGATGCTGATGAGCATGGCATATTCGCCACAGATACCACAACGCATTGTGGTAAGTAGGTCATAGAAATCAACGACTAGCACACTTTGTGCATATTTTGTGCCGAGGATCGCCTTGTACAGATGAAGTGCCTCGATGATGGCTTTGTATACCTCGGACTGGCTTATGAATTCCCGCATTCCACGGCTTGTCTGTCGGAGATTGAACAAGGTCTGCAAGTCGAGCCACCAAATAAGACGCCGAAGGGCTCCAACAGGCCACTCGGGCCTGGGATAGTTACCGAAGATGATGCTGGGGTGGGGACGATTGTCGGGAACGAAGTAGGGTGCCGGCTGGTCGAGGATAGCAGGGGGGTGTGGGATCGGGCCGTGTATTGCGCCAGGAAGATACTGCTCATTGAATCGTGAATAGCCGATGGTTTGGATGATGCGATCATTGAGTTCCAAGGCAGTCATGGGCCGCGGTGGAAAATATGTGGCGGCGTTCATTGTGATAAGATGTTGAGAAGTGGGATGCTGTGATAATGATGGGAATGATGATGGGATTGATGGTGGGAGGATGATGGTGATGATGATGAAGGAGGGGAAAGGAATTCAGGCGTATGATGGTAATGTAGGAAGGAAGAGAGGCACTTGTAGTCAAAGCAGGAGGTATCGCGGTGGCACTGCCCATCTGTCTCCGAGCTTGAGTCGAGATTTCACAAAAGCATAAGGTGCTCAAGTTGAACAATATGTAACACAAATAAAAGTCGTAAATGAATTAAGAACGCTATTAATAAATTGAATCACTAGAGTTTACTCTTGTCAGCTCGAAGAGCGCCCTTCGTGTAGCCTCAAGTGCACTGTTTCTCTAGCTCGCCTGCAGCCTTGCTTCCTAACGTCTCTTCACTTCCGTTGACGCACACCAACTCATAAAATCAAGAAAACACAAAGTCTATTGCTCTAATCTTCTATAAATCACCCGGAAGAATCTCCGTGATATTACTCTTCGCCAACTCCCTCGTCGCATCCAAAACCTCCACCATCCTCCCCCTCGCCTCAACATTCTTCTCGCTCTCCATATTAGCCATCCCCATATGCTCCAATGTCACACATATCAACGACTCCATAAGCCGCTGTGCAAGTTCACCCGCATAACCTTGTTCGTAAAACGCCGGTGTTTCATTGACTTCCAACAACCACGCTGTTCCTTTCGAATCAATCAGGAAGTCAATGGCGAAGAGCTCAAAGCACTTATCCAATGGTGTAAACTTATCAGCCATTGTATGCGCGGCTGCACGGAGTAACTCTCCTGAGATTTTACAAGCTTGATCGAAGACGCTTTTCTTCCAATCACTAGGAAGTAAATCCTCGTCGATCTTCCAAAAGTCTCGCATGGATTCTTTGCTGGTGAACTCCTCTTCATCTTGGAGCGCGGTGTTGGTCAACGAAGATTTGAGACTAGGGTTCTTCCACGGAGGCTCATAGTCATCAAGAGCTAGTAAAGCGAGCATCTCATTGAAGACGTATACTTTTAGACGGCCGACGGAGAGGACGTAGGCTCGAACGTGCCACTTTCGACCATCGATGGGTGGAATGTTGACGATGTATTGCTGTGCAACGAACTCTCGAAGAAGAGCGGATGGAATACGTTCGTTTTCATCGATGACCAGATCCTGTATCTTGTTTGTTCCCTGGACGGAGAGTTTTCCAGTTGCTGTAATCAGGGCGTCTAGCGAATCAAGTCCAGGTGCTGATAAACTTGGCTTGAAGCCCTCGGCGCTGTCGTCGCTTTCGAATTTGGTGTCCGGTGTTTCAGCGTCTTCCTCGCTTTCTTCATCCTCCTCGGAAATATCAGCAGCAAGTTCAAGGTTACCCGCCAACTCGTCAATGGTGCTGAAGATCCGAATTCCATGGCCGCAATCAATCATGGCAGGTTTAAGAATCCACCAATCTCGCTCCGACGAATCCTTTGCTTCGTTATCCTCAAGCGAGTACAGCAAAGTCAAATCATCGGCTGCAGCCAACGCATCCTCAACATACTCGCTATAGTCGAGAGATAACTTTACAGTCGCGGGACTGTGACCTCTGAGGATGCTTTCAGGCCTTTTGGTGATCCAGTAATCCACGACGCTTGCCATGTGATCTTTCCGAGCCAACGCATCGCTGTTGGGATAGGCGTTGAGTAGTCCATGTTTGGCTCTATTCAGCACCGCGAAGTGATGGTTCAGCTCCCATCCATTGAGAAGCTGATACACAGTATCCGCATCCTCTGGAATATCGGTGAAATTCTCATGGCAGATGGCATCCGGTACATGTCGCTTGATGCATTCTTGTATATGGCCATCTAGCCACGGATTGGCGCTGTGAACATAGACGTGCATTTTCAATCTGGCTTTGGGTTATGTCTCAGCGAGTGATGGAGCCTTCTTCTGGAGGGAGAGCAGCTTGACGAGGAATTGATAGGCGAGTGAGTCTCGATTCCATAGAGTCGATAACAATTATTCTAGAAATTATCATCAAGTACGTACTTGATTGATGAGAGGGTTCAGTTTCCAAAACAGGATCAGAGCCAAGAGGTGCCTTTTAAACAACATGCTCACGGTCCTTTTGAGAAATATTTTAAAAGTGATTGCCAAGAGAACAATTCATGGTATTTACTAAGGTGATCCACTTATTCAGACATTTTGTTGACGTTCTATTGGGCGTTGCGTTATTAAACGTAAGCAAACATGATGAAGTTCATGATATTCTTCAAAATGCATGATCGGCGTTGCGCTCACCGTTTCTTGTCAGGGGTCATGCCAGGGCCCAAATCGAGATCATTGATCGTTCTACCATGTCTTCTTTGGCACATTTTGCCTAATGGTCAAATGTAAACCTTTTTTCTTGTGCGCCCATGAGTCGCTTGTCATGTTCTTGGTGGCGTGATTTGTAAGGTTGATTCCTGGCACTCATGTTTAGGTCTTTTTATTTCTCTCAAGTCTAAATATCCTCATCCCTCTCAACATTCTGTCTATTGCAGATTAAGCTGTCGATCTTTAATGAAATAGCCAAGTCTAATTCGTATACAAGGCCGTGATTCTGCAGCACATCGACCTCGTCATGACAGCCAGCCATTTCTAAGCCCAACCCTTAGCAATGAAAAATTATTCTATTCCGACCCATCCGCATGATTCTCGATACTATTCAGCCCTTTATTCATTGTTATCGAAACATCTTTAAATGAGCTTCTCTTTCCCGATCAAATGGAAATTGGCGTCGCATCGACGCCCGAAATGTTGGCCTGCAATCATTTCTCGTGCTCGATAACCTGAACAGGGCCTCATAGTAGCTATCAAGGTCTCCTGTATCCCCAGAATCGGAGGTTTCCGACTCGTCGTCTTCTTCCAGATCCAGAAATTGCTTCTGAACTCCAGTAGATGTAGAAGTATCAGGAACAGGGCACGGCTGTCTAGGCTTTGATACTTGACACACTTCATCGTCTCTCCTCTTCTCCCCAAAGGACGAATCTCCCCGGTTTGGAAGATCGGAGAGCCAATTCTGAACTTTTCCTTCCGGCTTTTGTTGGCTGGGATGGACTACTTGGCGAGGATTGCTGACGTTGCCATCCAAATAGCTGGTATAGTCGCCTTGTGGTTTTGTCATAACGTATGACGTTGAAAACATGCGTAGTGTAAGCGCTACATCACTGAAAGGCGAGTCGACGAGACTAGAAGTTGTAGGTGTCCGCGATGAACCCATGGAGAAGCTCCGTTTGTGGTAAGACCGAGACGCATCGTCGGCGCATTCGTGGAGAGTGAACAATTGCCGGTTATATCCAGGCTCAATGGTGGTGACAATGCGAGGTGGTTGCCGCTTGTTGCGCAAGGACGATGTGCGACGAGGAAACCTCAAAGGCGCTGGCATATCCTCGCTCGAAGAAGAGTAAAAGATCTGATTTCTCATTATGATGGTATAAGGAATGATGAAATTGGCCTTGCTACATCCACGAATCCTTCCAAGACTTTAAGTATATGGATGACGTTTCGGAATGCCCGTCGTGAATTGCGTTAAAAAGCTTATTACAGTGCCTCGCCGCAGTGACAGTTGGCACATTACGAAGCCGAGCGACTACTGACGGGCTGAGCTAGCTTTGGTGAAACCACTTTGCTATCAAAGCGCGGATAGTGACATATTAGGACAATTTTAGCGCCCCCTGATATGTCAATTTACGCTGTATACGGAGTAAACGCAACGCTAGGACTAAGCCCAGCGCAAGTGCCTCTTTTGTGGTCTGTGACCTGTCCCAGAACCGCGGATTGTTTCACCTCGTGACCTCGATACGCGGGTTGCCTTATCAAGGAGAGAAAGAGGCTGGACTAATTTTAGGTCACTTTGGTGATTGAATTGCGGCAAATGTGTGCTTTTATGTATAGGATAAATAGTAATTTAGATCATTTGATTGGGCCAGTATTTACACTAAAGAGACACTAAACAAAAACCCTTCAGTTTATTGATGAGATTCATACCCTTTGAATGTCCTTGTACTTCACTTTCCTATGCTGTAATGTTCGAAGGCATGAATGGCCATGCTACAATCATCCATTCTACCTTCTCTCCATACAGAAATTCGACCCTTACGGAGGGCATGCAAATGAGATTCATTTTCAGTGAGTATCATATCAAATTACCATGGCGATGATACTCCTCATAAAGTTAACTCACGAGCGTCGCGTTCGGTTCCGGTTACCCCCGTGAAACACGATATAAAGTCTATTACATGCTTAGCCGTGTCTCGGGGCGATCTCGTCACCTGTAGCAGGGGAACCCCTGCCGGGGACTGGAAGCTTCTCTTCCCCCCCCGGTAGTGACGACGTCGACTCGCAATGACATTCACAATCCGAGTCAGAATCGGACGACTCTTACGAAGATGCTTCCGCGGAGGGTATATTCTAAGCAACATCTGTAGAGATGCTTCCTGACGAAGATTAGACTTTGGGCTGCAAGCACAAATGATATGATCACAATACTCCTTTTTCTGCATCAGCCGTGTAGCAGAACGGCAATAGGGTTGCAATTAAACTCACTCCGTACACAGACAGAAATCAAGCGATACCTAAATGACTACAATTCTATTTGTATCACCGTTGTGTTTGTTTGAGTTTTGTGATAACTCACATCCCGAGGTGCGACGTAGAACATTGACGCTTGGCCCATCGAGTACTAGCTACCGAGCTATCATAAATCCCCTGATCTACCTGCCGATAGACCTGCATGCCGCGGCATACGCTTATTAATTGCCAAGGCCCATTGTTGTGCCGATTGGGGGGCTTACCAGACGACGACCCGGGTGCACAGGGACCCGAGATTCACCGTTTGTCATGTGGCACAGACGACAAACCTTCGCTCACGAAGAGCGGATGATTGGCTAGAGCTTTCTTGCTAGAGGCCTTCTGGATGGTGGCTTGGTTCTAGACTGTTCGTGTACTGTTCTCTTGTCACTGTTTGGAATGGTGTGCAGCGCTGGATAGGGGAAGGGAAGAATGAAGCAAGCTTGGTTCAGTCGAGAGCACTCAGTCCTCCAAGTCGGCAAATTTTGTCTATTATCAAGGTTCTTCTAAGTAATACAGAAAATAATAATGTCGTACAATAAACGCTACAGTAATCGCTCCTATTAAATGCACAATGCTTCAATCATGAGATCTTGAAGATGCTACCACGCTAATACTTTTGCGTGCTTCCTTTTCCAGGCCCCGAGGGTATCGTCGTCGCATCGATGGTCGAAACTTCCCGTCAACCTTTGTAGCGAAAGCGGAAGATGAGTCCATTTGTAGCAGGGTCAGGTGGTATGCATCGAGGCCTGTTGTAAAATCCGTGGCGTCGTGAAGGTCAGGCTTTCCGTAGTCTACATATCCATGTGTTGGACTTGTAGGTTGTATGCTTTCATAGCATGTGTCCAAGAAGTCCAGGTAGTTTAAGAGACCCTCGGTTCCGGGAATAGACTCCCTTGGTTGTTCAGTATCAGTCGTTGATGAAGTTTCGTCTTCGCTGCTTTCCTCTAGGGCCTGCGGTGCATATTAGGCTTATGCTTCATGGTATTTAATAAGATCGGTTGGCTTACATCCACATATCTTACATCCAACCATGGAATATCAGGGAGCTCCAAGAGCCACCGATGCACCCGTTGATCAAGGCTCTCGCGACTGTTTACAAAGGTTCCAGTGATTTCCTCTGGTAGAATGGAACGAAGATGTTCGTGGGATTTCCAAACGACGGAAGAAGGAGAACAGATATAGAGCTGTGACTGTTCATCACTGGCGAGAGTATCACCGGAAATAGCTTGATGTAAAGATGCTGACGGAGTTTCCCAGGAGAATCTCTGTCGTTCGAGGGTTGCCGAATCCTCCCGGAGGGCTTCCTGCACAGTGAATGGTTGAAAGTCGAAATGGATGCCGTCTAAAGCCTCAAAGGCGCCGTTGATGGTTGCATCCATGGCCAAGGGGGCTGGTTGGTAAGACGTCCGGTCAAATGTCCGAGGAACGGACATTGTTGAAAGCATTTGAACGCTTGGCTGATTGATCGTGAACTGGACTGAGTGTATTCTAGAGCTTTTCTCTTGGCTTGTGTTGAATTATAAATAAAAATGTCTGGTCTGTTCGTGGTATACTGATGCCCAACTACAAGGCCTCTGCAATGGTCATAGCATCAATACTACCTACGGTATTTCGTTGCAGGCTAAATCTGAAACATGTCGGAGATTGTTGACATTGAACTCACGCTCTGTTAAGAAGCTTCCTCATATGTCATACTGCAGCTCAGACTGGTCTGTTCTTGGAAATGGTCGCGAGATGGTAACCCCAACGGTCCATCTGCAACCCGATAAGCGATGGAAAATCAGCCGATTCTTTCTTACCGAAGAACACGAGAAATTCTAGACGAAATAAAGCCACAAAGTTAATTATTTCCTTATTACCTGAAATATGACTAAATTTACTAGCCTCACCGGATTTGAGACGTGTTTGCGTCATTAAATGGCGGGTCTAATTGGATGTCGAAGTTGACGTCGTATTCCGCTATGCCACGATGAGAAGGTCGCGTGCGAGGATTGATGTGCCGTGGCCCGAACTCTATTTAGTGCAGCGTACATATAAGAGACCAAGCGTCCTGGGATCCCCCCAGTTGCTTTAGCCTTTGGAGCTCGTGCCATTGTTCTCGTAACTTCTCAATACAGTGAAGGAGTTCCTTGGCGTGTCATGTTTTTGCCCGCACGATGAGCAAGTTACTCACACGAAGTCAAGAACGGGAAGTCATGTCATAACCGAACACCAAGTCTGCCTTGCCTAACTACGCCATTTGCTGCTAATCGCATGTTATAGCTACTGTTCGATTCTAGGCCACTTCGGAAGAAGTGAGACTAAAAGATACGAGGTTCTCATCTCCTTGTCAGTGAAGATGGGGTTAGTACAACAAGAATGGAGATTCGTAACTTGGCTTTCTGGGGAAGCTCTGCGTCAACTCACCGGAACTTCCGGCCCGTTCCGCAGATCACGACACTTCGAGGTTGTTGTAGGAATAGACGTTGGGTCCCCCCCGTACTAACCGGCTCATTCCGGATGATCACGTCCTGGCACGTTTCCTTTTAATTACAGCGAGCCAAGTAAAACGCATGGACACATTCCTAACTGAACATCTCACTGAGGCAAGATGTCGGACCGATAAGGAATCACCATGACTGGCCATGATATGCCAGTACGTTCTCTCTGCTGATTTAAGCCCTCAGCCGTCAGTTTCGACTGTATCTAATATAGTAATATTAAAACATCTACCTAATATGATCGATGCCACAAAACTCAGGCCAGCGCTTTGAGCGGACCGTGCGTGTCGCTGCGGGAATTTGATATCCTGATTGCTCCCCCCGCTAGCGGCAATTGTGAATCAAAGTTATTAACAGGGAGCTTTGTTATAAGTAGCATTGGGTGATAAACGAGAGTTGCATGTTTGTGGAACCCGTTTGCAAAGTGATCGGCATACGGCAGAATGAGCCGAAGATGAGATCGAGAATACCCACAGCGGCAAGGTCGCTCAGGGGGCACGATCAGAGCGCTAATCAAGTAGAGGAAGTGGCAGTAAATTAGGTGGTGGAGTAGTCGGTATACATACATCTCCCAGTTAATTCGCGCGCAATTTCCTTCGAGAAAGATAGCTAAACCCAAGCGCTTAAAACCTTCCGATGTCAATCACATCTTCTGATCCATAATCTCCGTTCTGCTCCCGACATCGGACATCGATACAGCATACGACCTTCTAGAAACACCCGACGCTCTAGCCCAAGCCTCAACGTCTTTATCCCTCACTGCAGTCCCCTCCTCAACGACCGCACGCGTTTCAGCCGACACAACCTGGGCGGTAGCCTGCCAAGCATTGCCTAGATCAGAAGCCCTTGTCTTGAATTGAAACAGGGCCATCGTACTGCAAAGTAGGAGTAAGTGAACCAAGACCATGCTCAGAACTACCACCAGCCCCGTCCATCGCACTGGAATGAGCATCTCGACTGAGTTTACGGTGGTGACTTGCTTGCGCAGGTCGAACTCAGCCATGCTATCGTAGAAGATCATGGAGTGAAACCTAAAGGCAAGAGCTTGTATTGCTAATGCAGGATCCCCCGTCGCTCGTAGGATGTCCTGGATGAGAGAGACATGCACAGCGTGTGCGGCCCACCAAGCGATCCAATCCTCCTCATAGAGACCCTTGTAGTTAGTCATTGCCCAGCCTCCTTGGGGCGAGTAGCCCAACAGCGCTTGTATCAGAGCAATGTTTCTTGGCTCCGTCATTGACTTTGAGTATTTCGAGTTGTGCACTCCAACTTTGAGCTGCATAACATGTCGATCTTTGTAGTCTTTATTGAAAACTCCAATGCCGAGCTGTTTCTGTAATTGCTCACTACTCTTCGAACTGTCATTCCTCTGCCACTCGACAGTGGGCTCAGATTGGATTGTCATCCCAGTCATGGTAATTTCGTACAGCTCCGGTGCGTTTTCCGCGACAAAACACATCGTTGCACTGAATACTTCAGTACCATTCTTCAGCGAAGCTGTTGTCCAACGACCTTCCATGTTTGTCTTTAATCTTTTCAGTTGGTCAATCTTATTTATCGCTTCGCTCTCATCAGTCTCGCCACCTAGGTCCAGGTGCCCAAATCCATGCAGCAGGATTGGGCTGGACTTGAGAAGCAACACGGGGATGAAAGTGAAGTTCCGGCCCGACAGGGGATCAATAAGTCCCAGATCTCCACGGGGACCAGCATGGTAATTGTTAGCGAGCGAGAGTGGCAAGCTAGCTCTATCGCTTTCGTTCCATTTTGTTGGAAGCTGGGCGTTAAACGTGAATTTAGAATCAGACCAATTCTTGAGAAAGCCCGGGCCATTCTCCGTCGACCTGATATCGAGCTCTGCCTGAAGGCCCGATCTGCTTGCAGTAAGACCGAAGCGAATTCTTTCAAGGTTAGGGCTGAAACAGACTGTTCTGAAGTTACCCACCAGCCCTGGCCCAGAGTAGTGCTCTAGAGTTGTTCTAGACTCTTCCTTCATGTAGGGCAGAAGAGCACGGTAGGTATTCCCGGTATCGGCAATCTCGGCAGTCGCTGCAACATTGCCGGGTTTCATCTCGCCGAATCGCCAGTTTGCAGAGGGACTGGACCTGTAGTGGAGAACACCATTCGCAGACAAGGTAGTATTCGGTCCGAGCCCAATTGGAAGAAGCTTTGTCTTCACAGGTCCAGCGATATTGACGTTCTCCAAGTCTGTAAGCAGTATCGTGGATGTAAAGGTCGAAGCGACTAGGATAATTGTCCCTAGAATAATGATCGAAGCGTGCAGCACACCGAATACGCTGAGTCCAGCAACTCGTAATGAAGCAGGGAGGATTGTGTAAGGACTCGAACCCGATGCTCGTTGGATCGAAACTGCCGCGATATCGCGAAACCTGGTGCCAGTAGTCTCGAGCATAAGCGCAGCGACAGCCGCGGCTACAAGGCTAATGTGAAGGCCTATCGATACACGTATTGCGGCAGAGCAGATGGTAATGATCTTGGCAGCCATGTCGCGAAAGACTATGGTATTCCAAAACTCGGGTGGCTCTTCTCGATCTCGGGCTGTTTGCGCACCTTTCCAAAGAAGCACCAGTATGGCGCATGAGGCCAGGATGACCATGGTACCAGTGATGACTGTAAAAAGGCCTAGTAGTCCTATCTTGTGCCACCAGCGATGCTTTGAGTATTTGTTCCATGGTATTGGACCTTGTGATTGCGATTCTCCCAAAACATTCTGCTCATGAGCGATTTTCAATACAGCTGGTTCTGAGTCTGTATCGGCGCGAGGTAGTGATACAGAATCAGCCTCCCGTAATGATTCATAGCGATTGGAGAGCTGAGGAGTTATTTCTTCTAACCGTATATGCTGCTCTAGGCTTCCTAGAGGAAGATCAGTCGTATCAGTAGAAATAATAGGTTTGTACTGTGCCATTATGAGGCTTAGATTAGGAGCAACATAGAACGATAACAGAGTGCAAATAACGCGGAAACTCATTGTGTTTTATGCCCCGTTTCCGATGCATCTTCATAACACCACACCAGACGTGATGGTGGCTATATGTCATTATCTAAGACTTCTGATTAAACCGTCATTTCTGATAAGCAAACTGCCTGCCCCTCGCAGAGTCCTGCACTCATTGATTGCTCGTTCTTGGCAATCAGGCTGTGAAGGATTCTGCAGAGCTGTATCGACGGACCAATACGTGGCTGTTCTTTGCGGCGGGTGATTGATCAGCCCACCAACTTCCTTTCAGCTCATGCAAGAGTATATTGCTTAGAGCTTTTATTGGTATTCAGTCGTTGTCATAGTGGGTGCGACACCCTTAAAGCGTGCTTCTGCTCGTGGCTTGTCTCCATCGCCAGGTTGGCCACCAACCTCAGTGGAACACAATGGGGATAAAATGGGACGCAATGACCTAAAAATACAGCAGAATTTCTTATCTTATTTATGTATGTATAGATAAGATGTTAGCGTGTCCTATTGGCCTGATAGAATCGCCCGCTCGATGGCCTCTCCCAACGTCTGCGTATTTCCGTTACCACCAATATCCGCCGTCTTGACTTCCGCTCCCGACTTTGCCAGCACAGTCTCAATAGCTGTCATCATCCCCGCAGCAGCATCTGCATACCCAAAATGCGATAGCATCATCTGACCTGCCCAGATCATTCCAATGGGATTAGCAATCCCTTTGCCGTAAATATCCGGTGCACTTCCATGAACAGGCTCGAATAAGCTGGGGAAATCACCCGTTGGGTTGAGGTTTGCTGACGGAGCAATGCCAATCGTTCCCGTGCATGCAGGGCCCAGATCAGATAGGATGTCGCCAAAGAGGTTCGAGCCAACCACAACATCGAAAATCTGAGGCCGTTGGACAAAATGCGCCGTCAAGATATCGATGTGATACTTCTCAACCGCAACGTCAGAGTAGTTCTTACTCATCTCAGCCACGCGACTATCCCACCACGGCATAGTGATGCTGATACCATTGCTCTTCGTCGCACTCGTCAACTTCTTCCTGGGTCGACTTTGCGCAAGATCAAAAGCATAGCGAAGAACGCGATCGACTCCAACACGCGTCATGACGGTATCTTGGATCACAGTCTCTCTCTGTGTTCCTTCAAACATGATTCCTCCGACGCTGGAGTACTCTCCCTCCGTGTTCTCACGCACGATCCAAAAGTCGATATCGCCGGGTTTGCGACCTGCAAGGGGAGATGGAATGCCAGGCATGAGTCGACATGGGCGTAAGTTGATGTACTGATCGAATTCACGGCGGAATTTGAGAAGACTGCCCCAGAGACTAACGTTGTCGGGGACTTGGTCGGGCATGCCAACGGCGCCGAAGTAGATGGCGTCAAAGTTCTGGAGAGTATTTTTCCAGTCATCAGGCATCATCCTCCCATACTTCTCATAGTAATCGCAGCTGGCGAAGTCGAACTCTTGGAATTCGAGTGAGAGATTGAATTTGTTTGCTGCGGCTGTGAGACACCGGACGCCGTATGGCATGACTTCTTTGCCGATGCCATCACCGGGGATGACGGCGATTCTGAGTGTTTTGGACATTGTGAGAAGTTTATCAAGTCAGGTCCTGGATGCGACTCTTTGAGACTGCTTGTCTTTTAGGGGAGGGTTTTCTCTAACTTATGTCTGACGGCTTGTGGCTCATAAGTGTTCGGCGGTTATACCAAAGGCCGACGATATCGGGATATAGAAATGCCGATGAGGAATCCCCGCTTCCCCAGGAGCGGGGATTTCTTTGTCCGCTACTCTTATCGGCGTAAGGACCCCGATAGGATCGGACTGAGTGCTGTTTGGCCGACTGCTTGTGCGACCGAACCTCAAAATGTCAGGAAAATCAAATCTAAGAAATGAATTACTATGCTACCGCTTCGTCAATCACTCTCATGGTCAGGTCTCTGGTTCGGCGTGTTTGACCGTTGTCATACGGCAGAAGGTAAGCCCGCTAGTGGTAAGTGGCCGAGGTTTGGCAGTGAGCCCGTGAAATTATGACGGCATAGTCACTCTCGGCAATTAATCATCACCAAGATACATTGTTTAAGCAGCTTGTCTACCAAAGGGCGTTGACGAGATATAAACCCAGTAAACAGCGCGTACGGCCCAGGTTCCTTGATCTTTTCTCACCATATCTCACAATTGGCTTATTAAAATGTTTGACAACTTTGAACCTTTCGCAATCAAGACAAAGTCCAACCCGGACATCACCATCAACGGCTTGAAAAGCGGCGATTCCTCCTCCAAACCTGCTCTTCTTCTCATCCATGGCTTTCCTCAAACACTACATATCTGGCACCGTGTCGCGCCTCGGGTTCTCGATAAGTACAACGTTGTACTGATTGACATACGAGGTTATGGAAAGTCCTCCAAACCTGGCGATGTAGCTTCATATGCAAAGAGCGCCATGGCTAGAGATTGTATCGATGTCATGGATGCCCTCGGCTATACTGGGTCTTTCTTCGTCTGTGCTCATGATCGTGGTGCCAGAGTAGCGCATAAACTCGCCGTCGATTATCCTGATCGCATTCGCAAGTTCATTCTACTCGACATCTGTCCTACACTAGCAATGTATACCAAGACGGATTTCGACTTTGCAAAAGCTTACTTCCATTGGTTCTTCCTCATTCAGAAAGAACCTCTCCCCGAGACACTCATCACCGCGAAGCCTAGAGAGTTAGCAGAAATGTTCATGGGCGGTCGTCAAGGCGATGGGTTATCCATCTTTGAGCCAGAGTGTTTCGAGATCTATGCCAAGAATTTGGAAGATCCTGCAACGGTTCATGCTATGTGTAATGATTATCGCGCAAGCGCGACAGTCGATCTGGAGGAGGCGCGTGAGGATCTGAAGCAAGGTCGAAGGATTCAGAGTCCATTGCTTGTCTTATGGGGAAAGCATGGAGTTATCGAGAAGTGCTTTGATGCTGTGAAGGAGTGGAAGGATGTTGCTGATCCGGGTGTACTGGTCCAAGGTCGCAGTGTTGAGTCGGGGCACTATGTTCCCGAGCAGGCGCCTGACGTTGTAGTCTCCGCGATTCTGGAGTTCCTTAACTGAGCGCTGGAGGGGGTAACAACATAGTGTCAACAAGGAGACGTTTCCGTAAAAATAAATACGTCATAATCCGTTCTCGGCTCGTGTCACAATCGACTCTGTAGACGCAGACAGCATACCCGGTATAAGAAAGAGCCATGTTAAGATGCGCCCTTTACCCTTCTGATGGACCACGCGGAGAGAGAGAAAAAAACATGTCTAACGCCCAGTAAGATGAGAAAACGTCTAGACGCCAAAGAAGCATAAATCAAATGAGTTCAGCTAGAGGTGACACGAGACTAGCGTTGATGATTTGGTGGAGGAGCAACGCGAAATCAAGCAGCCAATATCAGAAGCCGTAGAGCCCCCGTGTTTCGGAAACCCATCTTTTGGGAATACGATAGTCGGGTTGGCCGCCAGCCAAATTTATCGTTGCCAATAACGCCCAAAAACGTTGCGACCCTTTTGAGACGAGAGAGAGTGATGTGAGGGGCGACGGTTATCAACACAATTTTTCACATTCCAGTGATTTCTCAGCGGGTTCATCACAGTTTTGCGAGCATGCCTGAGACTGAGATAGCGGATGGCGGGGACTAGTGCGGGAATAGAGATCGTGCATCACTGCCCATGTTCGGGAAGGCTTCAAGTTCCATGCATAAATTCAAGGTTTGGGTTGAGTTGTCCGTTGCAAGCTAGACATTTATGGAGAGAAAAGGCGAGCCAATTAGAGGCACTATCTAGGTTCTGACATTAAAGAGGCGCCGTTCTGTCGATGGTCTTGTTGCTGTGATGAGCAGTTTCTCTATAGGGTAGTTCTGCCTTCAGGTTCGATATCAATGATATAGACATGTTCATCGAAGGAGGGGAGGATAATTGTTCATTTTGTTTTGCGTTGTGATCAATATTCACATTCATCGAATTTTTTGTCTTCTTTTGATCTTGTTCACGTCATTGCGCCCAAAAAAAACGTATGTTAATCACAAAAAGTAAACCGTAGCTCAATGACCTCGTTCTCAGGTTTGACGTCAAAACGCATACCTCGATAAAAGCTATCGAAATTTCACGGTCATCAGAAGCTTTCCCATCTTGGAGTGGCGTTCCCAGTGATCCGAATTGAGAATTGAAAAGCAACTGGAGCTATAATATCAACAGGCATCTTTGAGCTATCGCATCCCCGACGATCCAATGGCGATGGCGATGTCCGCTAAACCTTCGAGAACAAGAATGGTCACTAATCCTGCAGCTCACCTATGCAGACAAGGGTTAGACATATGCCAATCTCCTGCTAGAACGTCTTGTAATCGCCAACGGGGTGGCTACGGTTGGCTGAGGATCCTCGCGAGGCCTACACACGGGCATGCCGCTAAGAAGGATACATGCACCGGGGCCGTCACGATTAGCGGACCGTTGGTGTGGTTTTATTCTTCATTCTGGTACGGGGTGCTTGCTGCACCCAATCTAGGGCCCGCGTCGTGTCCCCGTGGTGCAAGGAACGGCCAAAACATGCGCGGGCAGGGCAGACCAGCTGAGGGATGGATCGCCGAGACGGAAGGCGTTTTCTGGGCGTCCAGGGCAGAAACGGCCGAGAACGGGGATTCCGGAAGATGCCTTCTTGGTATCTCGGTATACAACAGCTTGGCGCAGACTTGGCAAACGGGAAAAGCTGCCGTGATGGTGTCGAGAGCTGGACATGAGATAATGGCGATGGACATCACAAGCTGGTCGAGAGAGTTGATATGCAACAATCTAACGTTAGGTTTAAGCTTAGAGACAAGTCTAGAGCTGAGCGCCGAAAAGTAATTATTCTTGAAACTAGTGATCTACAATTCTGTATCCAGACACCGAATTCAAGACTCGGTTTACCAAAACGACATGGTCAGACACTCGT